CAGTTTTGATTATTGGATGCTTGAGCCAACATTATGATCCATTTACAGCGCTAGTAGATAGATTGAAGTAACATCAAATTCCTGTATAGATTTTATATAAGCGCTAATACTTTTACTCTATTTTCTCTTGTTGTTCCGATTTTCATATATTTTCTTGTTGGCGTTCTGATTTGAGACCAGCCATACATGATACCATACTAATTAGTAGTAGCATTTATAAACACCGATCAACGGACTTATTTTATTTACTAACAGTCGTAAATTTATATTCTCTATTTTAGAATAGATGCATGTGCCTCTAACTGGACTATTTTTCTTTTGGTTATCATCAACTTGAAATGAAAACCAACTTGGTAAGGATTTATCGCAAAGTAGATTGCTGAGCTAATCTTTAAGTGGCGACCAATATCATGTTAATCTAATCTTCTGGTGCTGATTGGATTCGATTAGGCAAGTTGCAATGCGGTCACTAGTTTGACTGACTGGACATTGCGCGCAGTATATCAAGATGTAATATGGTTGAAGGTTATGATAAGAGATTGAAACAATTCATAAACTATTATGTTAAATAAGTATTAAGGTGTAAAATAATTGATTGGTGCATAAAAATAATTTAGAAAGGGTTTTTTGTGAATATTATAGTAATTTAATAGTTGAGATTAACTGACTCATGATCTCAACTATAAAAATAATTGTTAGGTGATTGGTGGTAGTCGGCAGACTACCATGAACGTAGAGGTTTTGTGCTATACGGCACTTAGTTGCAAGGTTACAGATAAATCATAAGTTGAGTGTATAACTTATCATATCACATATACTCATATTTCGAAATTCTTACATAATTTTATCGCAATAAATTTTATTCAAGATTGTTGATTTGTTCTCTTTCAATTATGATGTTAAATTTAGGCACAAAAATGATGAATAGTTTATAATATTGCATTAATAAAAAAGAACTCTTATTAATATTACATGGAGTAATCAGATGCTTAATAGTTTCTAATTCTTCTTTAAAAAAAAAATTAAACATTCTACACACAGTTGAATTATTTCATCCAGATAACTGTAACGTACTAAGATAAAGTGTTATTCTATACACACACACACACACATATATACTTGTCACAGCCCTCAATATCTGTTCTCTAATACACTTAGGAGCCAAACAGTCTGATGACTTACAATTTGTCTGCTTTCTGGTTTTGAATTTTTTAGTTCATTTGCCTTCGTGTTTTTCAGTATGGTTATTCTCTCACAGGTTCTCGTTAATACATGAGATTGTAAAGTACCCAAATTGTTTTTCTCGAATTTACTATAACTAACACTAAGAAATGTTTTCTGTACTAGTTTGAATTACGAATTATTCGTGCATTCGTTACGCGTTGTGTCACCTGATGAAACCATGCCGATGATGTCATTCTGTAAGGTCTTATGGAAGTCCTTTAGGAACATTTGAATACTTGCTGATACCTTAATGCATTTGGATGTGGATATTTTAACAACATTAATTCACCTTATTAATGATCTAACTTATAATTTGAATGAATTAACTTCAGAATTTGAGTCTGCTGTTTCTGCTCGTTTAAAATCTTTCTTTGTACTCAGACTAACAGCTTTGTCATCCTTGAAGACAACTGTGTGTGTGTTCGGTTAATGTACATCAGATGACGGGTTTATAAATTAACAGCCGATAGTGTAGACGAAAATAATGCATAGGCAACATGTTAGAATTAGACAATACGACTAGGTGGTTGTGCACGGACCTAAGAGTGGTACAATACTACATAATAGGTCAGCAACTAGAGGAAAGATAACCTGTTCAATGACGAATCATGTTATTAATTGTCTGGATGATTAGTTTGGTGTTCATGGTACTGTAAAAGCGAATGGTTTAGCCCCCGTTAGTGGTATACATCTGAAACCTGGATGTACTGTGGAACAGCGTCTAGTTGATATCTTGAAATACCGGTGACTACCTTAGTGATGGATTCACACAAGCCATTAATACTTTCTTTCCTCAAATAGCTACTCTGTGTGTATTTAATTTGTATTATGAACTGTCGACTGTTGGGATATTGGAAAATGGGTGGAACTTGTAAGCTGTTTTGCTTTAAATAAACATACTGAATATCGTAAAGGTGAATGAAACGGGAAAGTTGGTGTCGTTAGTTTTTTTCAAAATTCTAGACCTATTTCTCTACCGAGCAGTGCCAATCGGATCAAATTCTACTTATTTTAAAAGAAAACAGTTCTTGGACAAGAAACGTACTGGGTAAGCGAATACAAGCGTTTTGCTTTATTCACGTTAGTTGAATAGTAGCCGTATAATGGTGTAGGTGTCAAAGGGAGACCGGGTTTTAATAGGGAAGGGTACCGGCGACATAAGTGGAGGATTTACAACCGAGAAGTGATTACAAACAATGAGTGGTAAACGTAGCAAACCCACAAAGTTTTGGCCATACACCAAATGTGATTATAAATGCTTATTTAGATGTATATGAATAAAACAATTTATAACTATATTGTTATGTCCTCAGTCCCATCAAATATCACGTGGCTAAGTCGCCAATTGGAAGACCGACTTACATGACCTTGTGACGAACCAATGGTGCCTTAACCGGCACGAGCAGCCTAGAGTCCTTACTGTTTCTCGCCATAACTTACGAATAATAAATCGTATAACAGTAGTCTGAAGGTCAAATTAGGACGTATAGTAAGATAAATATAAATACTATGTAGTCCTAAACATCAATGGGAAAATTCAGACGAATATTACAAAGTGAATTCACACTTCACCCCATTGCACAAGCTGGTGGCTTTCGGGATTCAGTAGCTAAGTAGGTGGCGCGATGGTGTTCGAAGCGGGCGGTGCCGGGTTCGAGTCCCCGGGCGAACATCATGTTCGGGATGCAGGTGCATCCGACTGACGAGTTTCAAGTAGGACGAAACGTGCTTCCAAGATTTCACTGCTAGACATCACCCATTATTGCTTGTGACTTAAGGCAATCCGCAAATATGCCAATAAGAGATTGGTCAATTGCAGTCCTAAACATCAATGGGAAGATCTAAACAAACAATACAAAGTGAATTATATAGTCTAGTTACTTGATGGTCATACAATAAGAATATGCGTAACTATTTAGGAGCAGTTTTTATTGTGGCCTGTCAACTAGGGAATCATTGTAAGCATTCACTGGACAGGACTAAGGTTATCAGCAATGTACATTGGGTGTGTCACACTCAAAAACTTTAGTTATTTTCCCGTCTCTTGGTAGGTGAGTGCTGGACACTTTCTGCGAATTTCATTCGAAGCTATTGGAGTTGTCCAGAAATACTTGCTATGAGCATGTCTACTTTACCACAGCTCGACATCCCAGATGAGAAACACAAATGTAGTTAAAGTCCGTGGCATTTTTTTTACGAAAACAAGCAGCGCCTATTCACAAGAAGGCGGGGAAATAAACGAAATCCCCCGTTACGAAACGCTTAGTTGAGAACGTGGCGGCTAATCTCGGACCTAGATGGCTGTTTTGACGTCTCAGCAAATGACACTCACCACCAAATCAAATATATCTAGGTCTGGAGATGGTACGTTTAGGCCGCTGAGTCATAATTGAGTTGTCCACAAATGAGTTCGAGAAATTGCGTGAGTGATTGAATATAACCAAAGATGTATTTAGTTTTATTTTACTTGGTTGATACACATGATTTTCAGTTCGCATCTAAAATGAACTGATTGATTTTAGCTAATGAGCCGTTGCGAACTTTTCAGAGGACCATTTCAAAACTAAATTGATTTGAGCTATTCTCAAAATAAAGAAAACTTCCTATACAGATACAGGGTTTCGCACTTATTCTCAGATATTTTATTGGAGACAGTTTGGTTTGGTTATTACTTTTTATAAGAACTGTTATATTCCTTACTATTGTCAAATCTCAGTAGAAATTGCAGTGAAGGATGGTATTCTTCAGATTTATTTCATTTGTTGTACTGTGTCAAAGTTTTCTAAAAATGAGAATGCCGTATTGTCCAATTTCTAAGCATTGAGATATGATCGTATTTCATCATGTGACAGTTTTGATTATTGGATGCTTGAGCCAACATTATGATCCATTTACAGCGCTAGTAGATAGATTGAAGTAACATCAAATTCCTGTATAGATTTTATATAAGCGCTAATACTTTTACTCTATTTTCTCTTGTTGTTCCGATTTTCATATATTTTCTTGTTGGCGTTCTGATTTGAGACCAGCCATACATGATACCATACTAATTAGTAGTAGCATTTATAAACACCGATCAACGGACTTATTTTATTTACTAACAGTCGTAAATTTATATTCTCTATTTTAGAATAGATGCATGTGCCTCTAACTGGACTATTTTTCTTTTGGTTATCATCAACTTGAAATGAAAACCAACTTGGTAAGGATTTATCGCAAAGTAGATTGCTGAGCTAATCTTTAAGTGGCGACCAATATCATGTTAATCTAATCTTCTGGTGCTGATTGGATTCGATTAGGCAAGTTGCAATGCGGTCACTAGTTTGACTGACTGGACATTGCGCGCAGTATATCAAGATGTAATATGGTTGAAGGTTATGATAAGAGATTGAAACAATTCATAAACTATTATGTTAAATAAGTATTAAGGTGTAAAATAATTGATTGGTGCATAAAAATAATTTAGAAAGGGTTTTTTGTGAATATTATAGTAATTTAATAGTTGAGATTAACTGACTCATGATCTCAACTATAAAAATAATTGTTAGGTGATTGGTGGTAGTCGGCAGACTACCATGAACGTAGAGGTTTTGTGCTATACGGCACTTAGTTGCAAGGTTACAGATAAATCATAAGTTGAGTGTATAACTTATCATATCACATATACTCATATTTCGAAATTCTTACATAATTTTATCGCAATAAATTTTATTCAAGATTGTTGATTTGTTCTCTTTCAATTATGATGTTAAATTTAGGCACAAAAATGATGAATAGTTTATAATATTGCATTAATAAAAAAGAACTCTTATTAATATTACATGGAGTAATCAGATGCTTAATAGTTTCTAATTCTTCTTTAAAAAAAAAATTAAACATTCTACACACAGTTGAATTATTTCATCCAGATAACTGTAACGTACTAAGATAAAGTGTTATTCTATACACACACACACACACACACACTAGTTACCCGAAGAGAAATGTAAACACAGAAAATAAACTCTAGACAAATCATCAATAGGAATAAATAAAAGAAATGAAAAGGGAATTTGTATGCGAAACGGTAAAATAAAAGAATACAGACAACGAAGAGGGGGAGAGATAGAAAAGAGAGTACCGCAACTTTCATATTGATGAGTATCAATCAAAGAAGACTAGAAAAATTACCTTAAGAGAAAACAAGACAAACCAATGGAAATCATGAATAGCGACAATATTAATAATAATATACGTGTGAACAAAAAAATCACCCTTATATTGGTTCAAATATCAAAGACGCAATAAAATATACACATTTTAATATCTGAAAGACACCATACGTATGTATATATAGGATAATCGAAACAACAAAACTACATGAATACAATCAAAAATACATGGTAAACGCATTAGATCACAGTTAGCTAGGAATCGTTGATAGGCAAATCATAAATATATATGTATATAAAAAGACAATCAAAATAGGAATAACGATACATATATGTTCGTGTAATAATTTATCATCATCACAAGTAATATTGTATATCAAAATAAGACAAACAACATCAACACAGAGTAGTCGTGAAATTAAAAAAAAACTCAAATCACAACAGAGGAATATTAACAATCGAAAAACAGATTGTAGGATAAGTTTAAGAAAAACCAATAGAAGAGAAAGAAGAAGAAACGAATGATACACTATTACATATATAGTGATATAAATACATTATGTCATAGGTCGAATTTGATCTGTTTGACTAGATTTGTTAATTGTGCAATACATGAATGTACCGCATCCTCCTTGGTAGATCGAATATCGATTCGTATTGTTCCGGTAGTAAACTATGCAGTGAGAGACATAACAGGAATTAATACGTTAGACTGATGAGAGTTATAAATATACGTATCTATATTTTTAAGCCAAAAATCTCAGCGAAGTAACTTATTTGCTGAATAGTTAAAAGTAAATTTGGCAGAGACAAACTATGCTGACAGCCTGAAACGATTCCAGAAGTTACATGAAACGTAAAATTTTAATATGATTTTACCAAGAAGCGCCGTCTCTAACAGACTTCTTTGCTCAATAATATAGCGGGTCGTACAAAAATCTCGTCTCTGAACTCCACACATTCATTGGATATCTTTAGCTGGCTATAGTTACGTGAGATGCTACCTTTCAAGAGTCCGAGGTCCTGTAAGTGATCAACAACTATCTAAATGGACCAAAATACGAAATCTAATCAAAAGTAGGGTTTCTAGCAGTAGACTATCCGTAAGTGTATTCTGAAAATTGCTCATCAATTAAACAATCACTAAGTTCATTCTGATTGACCTTTTTATTAATTTTAAGACTCTATATAGTGTGCTTCTATTATATAATTAAATGATGAATCAATCGATTCCGGACAGACTCGGTGGTTTTGCGCCAAATTCAAAAACGACAGATAACTAGTAATTTCTTCAGACTTATGCAAGAATTTAGTAAAACCTACCAATGTTTGGTCACTGAGACACTTAAACTTGAGATATAGAGACCAGGGAAGTGACCATTACTTCGAAGCTTTAAAGGTTTTTAATATTTAAAACCAAAGAACTGTATCAGTATTCATCTATATGAATATTTTCATCCCATTTTTAACCATTACTTTTAGCCCTAAACTATCTCCTAATCTTAAACCTAAACATGAGACTTTTTGTGAGTCCTGTACATAAGAATGTGATTTTTATTGGAGTATGAAGTATAGATCTGGAAAAACATTCTAATCGCCAGTAGTTATCGATAAGATGAGAAAAAAGCTGCACGCTAACTGAAAACTTACGGATATTTTCATCAAGATGCATAACGGTTCTCTGAGTGGAATGTATTCTGTGTAGAGTGAAGCGGCACGATTATCCAAAGACTCAATCACTACAAATTAATTATACATATAAACAAAAATACATTCATGAAAAAAAGATGAGCTCGATGAAAATGTACACCTGAGCATTTACTATTAAATATTGGACAAAATACGAGGGGAATGAAACCTAAAAACGGTTAATATTTTCAACTTTTTGATGGAGTTTTGTTCTCTGAGCTGGATGATTTGGTCGTGGAGCTTTCATCGTTCTTCTGAACGACATCATCAGCACAAACTTCAGATAGACTTCTATCTGAAAATCATCCACCTGAGCTACAAATCTCCATTATCTTAATATCTTCATCTATCTATGTAACTTGTAATCCGTTTTGTTTGCATTAAAACTACTCTTCTTATGGTGCTCTACTGTCAGAATGGAGAGGTAGACTAGTGATGATAAAACAACCGGCTTGCAATCAAATCGCAACTTTGAAATCCGTCACATCATCTATTGAGGCTTGATCAGTCATTACATCAACAGTGAAATAATTCAAAACCTAGTACATTAATCTATAATTGATAAACGAATTATGATTACTTTATCCAAATGTAACATAGAAGACATCAATAATTCAGCAATCATTAGTATATATAATTTGAATTATCATTATTTCAAATCATCGGGATGAAGTATCTCAATTTATTACCATTAGTTACTTAGTACTTAGAATTTAACTACAAACATATTACAGAAAAACACTGTTTAGCTGAGATAAGTAAAAATACAAATTACTGAGATTTCAAGTAAAATGATGTCATGTTAGTTAAATAAATTCTAGAGAAAATTTAGCAATAAATAGTGTAGCCAATTAATGATCAGAAACAGATTGATAATCTAAGACTTAGAAGCAGTTAATCTAAGAGAGAATTGTTCAAACAAAGAGAAGATTGACGACTTACGTAAATCCTAGTTAACATAGAGTAAGAAAAAAACAACAACTCATGATCTGGATTCTCAAACAATCAAGTCACAACTATGATATGCTCTTATAAAATGCAAAATATAAACATATAAATATGAGGTTGTCAACGTTTAAAAAAGTAATAAGGTTGAATATAATTCATGCATATTGGTTGTCTGAATTAGAATGAAACTAGAATCATGGATTCCACTGTTAGCCACTATCCAACTCCGCTTATAAAATTGAATGTAAGTTGTTTGCTACCGACGATTAATTTGTAAAAGAAAAAAAAGATTAGATTTCACAAAAATAGCTCTACACAAAATGCAATCGTCATAACATTGATCATTGAGATTTTCTTTAAAGTGCAAAACCTAGTTTCAGGTTGTCATACTAATCAACTTCAAGCATAGCATTGGCACTTAAACGATGGCATAAAAATATATACATATTTATAAATAATCTAATCTTTCTTTGAAATAATTTTTGCATCATACTAATATTAGTCACAGATGTAAAATGAGATATTATCATCAAAACTGACATTTCATATTGTTTAAAAACATCTTCCATATCCATCAACACAACGGTGAATACATACACATAACAGATCCTTTCCTTTAGACAATTAACTCACTTACCTAAACATGGTATCTTCTTTTCAAGTACAGATATTATTTGTGCAAAAATTTTATTTGTATGCATTATTAAAGAATTAGACTTTTCTGATTGACGAATAATTGACAATAAACTAGGACAACAAATTTTTGCTGATTGAAATGAATTCAATTCACCGGTTGACAAAAGGGAAGTGAATATGTCAGTATTTATTACTGATGATGATATACAGAACTTAGTTTCAGGTATAGATATATTATCATTGTTACTACTAATAATGGATTTATTACCATATGGAACGGATGGTATTGGTGAATTATTAGGGGACTGAAATAAAAATGAAAGACAAAGAACAAACCGTAACAAGTTATATTACAAATAGCATTAAAGATTACATCGAGATACACCTAGCAATCAAGGGATAAGGAGACTAGGTAAAACATAATGTACGACAAGCCAGATGCAATAGTCGATAAGCTCGATAAACTCAATATATTTACCTCAACCAGATGGCTATCATCCACATGTTTAGTATCTGGAGATGTTATGGACACCTGTAAATACGCACATACGCTGCATATACCACCTATAAAGCAAATGTGAATCTAAATAAAGTTAGTCTATCTTAACCATTATGGTTGACCTGATCGTCAGTGGCTAAAATGGCGTCTGAGTAATTAAATTAGATAGTAGATCATACAATATTGGTTCTCTAATTTAGCTTAAATTCTAACGACATCCAACTTAATATCTGTTCAGAATGATTACAATCAATGAATGGATAATCCAAAGATACAATAAACGATAATATGCGGTTATTGTGACGAAATTTACGTAGGATGAAAAGACTGCAGGCTACATAATAGAGTCAATTAGACTTTTTTTGCGTGAATATGTAGTTGGATTAAGTAATCGTAGAACTACCAAACTTGACAAGATGTTACAAGAATATGAAACAACATTCAAAGAAATAGATAATCAACTAATTAAGTTATTTATTACTTGAAGTTAATTAACAAACTACGAAATGATAACTAGATGAAAACTTACAGACACTAGAAATAACGAACAGTTGATTCGCCTTAAAATGAGAGTCCTTAGCAGTGTGAAACCTTGAACACTTAAGCTATCAAACCTATAATTCCTAGGTCTTAATATTGGAATGTCTGTGTATTGAGAAGAGGAAACCACTATAGAGCAGTTCTTGGTTTTCTCCAACTGGAGTTCTCATTCAGTAATGAAAACTGACTTCTGATTCGATAATTACAACAAACTTATGATCACCTTATAATTAAGATTTTTTATTAAAAAAAACTTGGTGTGATGGCAAAACAAGGTCCTGGTACTTGATATAATTTTATACTGGATACTAGATACTTAAATCGATGAGACTAAACACTTGGCTGGGGATTGAATCAATAGACATCCTTTCAAGTGATACGCTTTTACCGAAAGCCAAACAAGAGTTCAAATGAAGACTAGGACTAAAGAGTATTATCATACAATAAGAAGCAGTCAAGTTTACATATGAGATGGTCTTTTACATTTCGTTTAGCCAGGATGTATCTATCTTCGTTATTGGGTCGGTCACAGTTTATTTTCACTTGACAGTATAACTATCATTAGTACGGTAAGCATAATTTATTCTCTACAGAATCAAATGATAAATAGACATTTACAGTAAAATTACACTATTTCGTGACATTTATTTAATTAAGTATTCATGTTTCCAAGGTAATAGAAAAAAAGAAAATAACATACTTGTTTGTTTTTACTATTATTATCATTATCATCATGATGATGATGAGAATTTAATGATGATTTCAAACGGACCTTTTTTGATGATAATATTTCAGTTTGTTTTATATCTGAGTCGAATGCTTCATAGCCTGATCGATGATAAGTTGTATTATTATCATTGTTATTCAATAAATTCTCATAATTAATATTTTCGGAAGATCTTGATTCATTGACTAGTTGATGATTATTATTCACCATTTCTTTATTCATTTTATGGTGCTTACATGTGAACAAAACACAAAACAAAAATTGGTTTAGTAAATGAGTAACCATTCGAGGATATATCAAATCAAGCTTAATATCCCAGTCCGTTCGCCCTCTTGAAATACTCTCACGTGACCACGCGTATTATAGCCTTTGCCAGGGATGTCCTACTCACTGCCTTCTCGTGGCATTACTGTTGTTTACGAAATTGAGAGGACGAAAAGTGAATGTCCGGCGCTCTAACCGGGTTGGTGGACACGGAGAGTTTACCTAAGGAATTTTGAAAACCTTGATTCCAAACCGATGGTGTACATGGGCTCCAGGATCCTGAGGGAACAAATGGAGTATGAACCAATCGTTGGTAACCGGCTACCATGGGACTGCATCTCCTTACATTGTTCCACTGCCTTGTGGATCAGACCTTTAGGTGGAAGGCTCCGGGTGTGGTCCCCTAAGAAAACCACCTGCTTCGGTTTGGGCACCCGAGCAGTATCACAACCCTCATACAAATCGAGTGGGATTTGTGTGGCACATATGTACTTGGTGCCGCCTTGTACCAATATCTATGTGTTCAAGTAAATAATAAATAAATATGTCGGTAATAAATTGTGGTTGCTATTTGTTTTCATACTTTATTATACAATAAGAATATAGAGATTACGACAGACTGAATGAAATTAGTTGAGTCGATCAACAGAATCCCATGGACACTAAAATGGCTAAACAAATATGACAGTGGTTACTACTCAAGAATTAGTTAATTGTAAATATCTCAGTGCTACAGGAGGTCATTAGGGTCTTGAATAACCATGTAGAAAGGTTCGAGACTGTGAGTGACACGGAATCCGATTTACCAATGAGCATTAGTTCCCTGAGATTGCGACTAAATCTTGCTGAAGGGCAGTAACTAGTATGAAACCAAAGTCCAATATTAACTAAGGAAACATTTAACGTTAGACACCATTTGTCACGAACTTTTTTAAAGTTTTGGACAAAATGAAAGTAGACATCTGTAACTACATACCGTATCATTATTCTTCTTCAATGTAATAACAATGGGTCTCTTTTATGATGAAAGAGTAATATTTATTTATTTACAGAAAAGGATAATGTCAGTTGAACACTTACTTTAGACGATAATTTTGAAGACTTCTTTGGTGAAGTCTTGTGAATTGTCGAATGTTTACTATGTTGAGATGGAATAGAATGTGGCAATTTATTGTTATCTTGTGTAATAATATTATCCAATACAATATTTAGTCGATGATGTGGATCATTAGCGTTTTCAGTATCACTTGGCGATTCATTATCTATGGACACTCCCTGAATAATGACGGTAATAAACGAAAAGGAATGAAGAATGACCCAATTTCTTCAAAATGTATTGTATATTACAGGTAGGGTTATCAATAAGGCATACATTTACTATGTATGTACATGAATGAAAAGTTTATACAACAGGCCCCTCTTCAAATGCCTTGGTATAGCCAAGGGTGAGGAGAGTTTCTTTTTTCTCTCGAAACCCTCTAATACGGTCATGCATTTATAGGCTTCACTATAGAAGTAATACTCAAAGCCTTCACACAGAGAGGGTGTATTTTACGAAAGTGAAAGGACAAAAAGCGGATGTTTGTTGTTTAAACTGGATTAGGGAGGTATATAGAGTGTCTGTGTAGAGAAGTTGGAAAACCCTGATTTCGAACCAATAATGTAAATGGGCTCCAGGATCCTAAAAGAATGAACGAAGTATGAATCTACTTATGGTTAACGACTACCAAGGAATGGAAGCTATCGACGTTTATTGACTGACTTGTGGATTAGATCGTTGAGTCAAAGACTTGGGGAATGGCACATGAGGAAAATCGACCAAATTCGGTTTAGGAGTGCTGACAGTATCCTAGCTCGCATGCAAATTTTACCTCATGTGGAGCACAAAATGTTTGGTTCTCAGCAGTATCAGATATTATGTGAATTGAATAAACAAATAAAAATGGATATTACAGAAATGACTATTTGCAAAGATAGACAACATAGGACCTGGGACGAAGGTGTGTCGGTTTAATTGGCTACATCTTACACCAAAACAACAAGGGATGAGATGATCAAAATAAAAAAGTGCAAGAAGAGAATAGTAATGTATAGCTTAGCGTAGGAAACATGGTTCAAATAAAACAAGTGATAACTATGAAATAACGGATGCAACTATGACAATGGGACATTTTTTGCCATTTCATTCATTACCACTGTGATTCCAACTTGTTTATCAAGGAATAAATGAAACATAATGAAGGCAATTTACTAGAATTCATGCATATCCATGTGTAATGAAACATGTAGAAACGTCATCTCAACAACTCATCTGAATGTTAATTCATAGAACCCAAGTACCACAAGACACTTGCCGTTGAATATAGATCATATCTGTTGATGGGATATACATACACTTTGTATAGAAACATAAAAAGCATTGGTGAGCTCTGACTATATGATGTGTAGTCTACACAGGTAGCATAAATATGAATTAAGAAAAATGAGGTTGTGAATGAATATAATTTAGATTGTAATTACGTAAAAAACGTTATCCTCTAAAAAGATCAAACACTTCACAACTAGTCGAAGCTAGAAAAATAACACAAAGTCAAGATACGTATGATTGTCAGACTGAATGCTAATATTAATAACAAATTACTATAGGATACTTATGGAGATTATTGATTTTCATGGTTTACATTACAGACTGATCTTATTTAGACAACTGTTCAAGAATATAAGGCATTTGACAACCATTTTATCCTGATATGGGCAATCCTAACAGTTCGTTTCCAAAAATCTCAAGGGCGACTAGACCCAGGACCTTCAGGTCTCGCGGCGAGCGACTATTATTATTATTATTATTTGAACACATATATATTGGTACAGGAGTGCGCCAAATATATATGCGCCACACAAAACAATGAGAATTTAAGAAAAAAAATCGATTGAAGATTTTGCACAACTAAATCTGCCGATGTCATTAATCTTGAGTGCTTTAGAGGTATTAGTAGATAACTTTTACATACCCAGTGCGAATGAACTTCTAAAGAGATAAGTTCCGAAGTTTTAGTAAGGAGCAATGATTTGTTGGGTTCAACCATTCTGAGTATGAGGCAGTTACCCATCTTTGGCAATGAAAGATGGTCAAGCAATATTGTGAATTGTAGATATTAAACATATAAACCATCGGGTATGGGATCAGTGTTCTAAAGGTTAAGTTCTCGCCACGAGACTTGAATGTCCTGGATTCGGTTACCGATGTGGTTTCGGATATGAACTGGTCAGAGCTGCCCATATTATGACGAAATAGCTGTCTAGTGAATAGTAATTTTAAATAGTTGCTAACTAAGATCAGTCCGTGATGGAAACTATGAACTGATCGATCAAAAGTTCATAAAAAAGAAAAAAAACAAGTACATAAACTAATATTTACAAACAGAATTTACCTCGGGCATATCATAATCACAACGAACAACGTGTGAAGTAAATTTGTCTTTTATAATATAATCTATTTTATTTTCTTCCTGAGTATTTTCAACCTGATTAGTCGATTTAGAATTATTATTAATTGTTAATGAAGATAATGACGATGAAGATGGTGGTGGTGATATGATCAGATGTTTTTTCTTATGGATGTTTTTCGAATGATTGCTCTTCGTTGTTGATCTAAGTGATAAGAGAAGTTATAACAGAACAGAAACCTTTACAAGTCTGGAAAGATAATCGAAATAGCCATATATATATATATATATATATATATATATATATATACCGGGTTAATGATATACTGATACTGCTAATGTCTGGATTGAATTAAGTGAATTTGAGGGATCTGAACAGGCAACTTGATATTGAAATATAATTACTTTTTGAAATACAAATGCTAAGGTTCATCAGAGCCAAGAAATACGACTTTTAAAAGTCTACAGTTTTAAAATTTAGTTTCCATACTCTCAAATATACAAAAGCAATATGAATGACGAACAACGGAACTTTATAAAAGACAGTAATATGGTTTGTATGACTGTGGGTTATTACTTAATGATCATATTTCATTTGCTATAGTAACCAACTAATCTGTTGAAGAATGTTGATTATCGATTATTTACTGTACTACAACCCTTTGGTGAAGACTATTTTGAAATCCAGATGGAAACGGGTTGGTAACAGGTTATAATGTAAGACATTGATTTACGAGAATTCCGAGAACTCGACAAAATCTGACTTCCAAATTGTTATCGATACCTCTATAGGAATGGTGCATAAGGTGGCTAGGATATGTATCACGTATGTCCAACTAACTTGATGTATGTAAGAGAATGCTAGTGCGGAAGGGGGTAGTCCAAAACATGGGGTAAGTCCATTAAGCCATTAACTGTTAGTCTGAACCATGTTAGTAGATACAGATTATCTGATTAGAGCCTAGGGGATGCGTTCAACCAGTGCTTGGAAGCTTTGGATGACATGACTCTGAATCGGTTAGTGGGACAGAAGCATTCACTCTATATCTATTCAAATCTTGAGCTCGAGTATTCCTCAACATATACCTTTCCATTTCTTCGTTTCAAACAGAATCCCGGATGTTCGAACGTTTTCGTTATGATTACCATTATAATTATTCATCTTATTCATTTCATCTCGTTACGTTAACGTGATATGACAATTTGGGCTATTATACATTTGTCTCAGGCTCTACGTTGATAATGACTGATTGACTGAATACCATACAGCAATTTAACATGCTAAGATTTTAAATCATCTTAGAAATTAGCATTAGCAACGACTTTAAACTTTTTTATATGACTGCCAATTTGTTTTGAATAAATCTAAAGCTGATTGTTCACGGACTAATATCAATGACTTTGACGAAGTATCCATTTACTAAAAACAGAATTATATACACCTTTTTATCCGAGATTTAATGACACCAACCAACTATTCAAACAGAAATAGATGAAGTGAGGTAAATAGACTAGTATCAAAGAGAAGAAATATCATACCAGGAAACTGCTGATATGCAAAACTGAAAAATGAATTGTCTAAGAGAAGATGCACTAAGTTTGCTAGTTTAACAGTAACTATAAATTAAACAGACGTGCAATATATGCTTAATATACTCAAATCATGTTGAATATCACCAGATAGCTAGTATGGAAGGAAGTGAATCACAGTGTCGAGTCATTTAGATTAGTAGATGCACTGTAACTTAGTTAGAGTTCGATCAGTGCTGATAACTCAAAAATTAGGAGACAACAGGTGAACACATCTGCCCCATTGCGGCTGATTTAAAGAAATGTCACCGACGTCTCCAGTCATTGGTTATGATGACTGAGAGAACTACAACTATGTAATATACACTTGTCAACATGGTTTAGATCAAAAGTCAATGACGTTTTTGGCTAGTACCCTGAGTCTAATCCAAAAACTGGCCACTCATAAGCCTTAGCACAAGTGAGGAATGCTTGGAAGACACCGATAATCGAATACTATTTTCAAAGGCCACGTTTCACAGTGATAAGCTAAAACCAAGTGTACTGGTACATATTACTCTCACTTTTCGGTTATTAGACGAACATCGTGTCATTTGGATTATTTAACATAAAATGACTATATGAACAAATGTCTGTGATTATTAAAGAAAAAGATTAGAAAAGTAAACAAACAGAAAACGGCAAACTGACCTTAATTTTCGTTCTACATCAGACGCAGCAGTTTGAAACTTTTTACGCATTTCAGCAGCGAACTGATCGGATGTAGCCAATTTACGCGCTATATTTAAATATAAATAAATGGAATTCACAAACAATGATAAATAAGTGAAAACAAACAAATCAGGAGCATACAAGTTCATGCAGTAGTTACACAGAAAAAAGCACTAAATTGCTACACAAAGTAGATACTAATGACTAGCAGCCTTAGATGATACAATTACTTAAATCTAGTCATTCATAGCATCGAGATATAAAGAAAGTCATTGAAAAAAGGCGATTCAGAGACGAAAATTTTCTCGTCGACGATTTCATTTACTTAAGCTGTACAGTCGTATTTATAGTTAATTTTGTTTTCTAAAAGTGTTCTGCAGTAAGATACTTACTTACGCCTGTTACTCCCAATGGAGCATAGGCCGCCGACCAACATTCTCCAACCCACTCTGTCCTGGGCCATCTTTTCTAGTTCCATCCAATTCTTGTTCATTTTTCTCATATCTATCTCCATTTCCCGGTGTAATGTGTTCTTTAGTCTTCCTCTTTTCCTTTGGCCTTGAGGATCCCATGTGAGGGCTTGTCTTGTGACGCAGTTGGGTGCTTTCCTCAATGTGTGTCCTATCCACTTCCAGCGCTTCTTCCTGATTTCTTGCTCCACTGGGATCTGGTTTGTTTTTTCCCACAACTGGTTGTTGCTAATAGTGTCCGGCCAACGGATCCGAAGTATTTTGCGTAGACGACTGTTAATAAACACCTGTATCTTCTGGATGATGGCTTTCGTAGTTCTCCAAGTTTCCGCCTCATACAGTAGAACTGTCTTGACATTTGTATTGAAAATCCTGAACTTAATGTTGGTTGACAGTTGTTTTGAGTTCCAGATGTTCTTCAGTTGTAAATATACTGCTCTTGCTTTACCGATCCGCGCTTTCACATCTGCATCAGATCTACCATGTTTATCAATGATGCTGCCCAAGGTAGTAAGATAGAAAGGTACTAATTAATTAAAAAAGCTTGAAGCAGTATGTCGTGAAGAATTTAAAATCAAATATTGAAAGGAAATCATGTAATAATTGTCTAGTAAAAAATTGTTCAATTGATAATTATCAAGAAGAGAATTGTTAAGTTGTAATAGTTGTTAGTTTATGGTTGTGAAAACAATTGGAAAGGAGTAGGCATGACAAAGTAAATAAAAACAAATAAAGACGACAGATTATGGAAGATAGAAAGGGAGGTTAGGGTCATGAAAGAATAAGAAACTGAACATAATGTTTTTGTACTCAAAGGTTGGACTTAAACTCGTGGATAGCAATAGCCTCTGCTGTACATAAGTTTTTCATTCGCATTCCTATTGAGCCAACTTTTCTGACAGTATAATTCTAAAGGAGGCTTCAGGTAAAGCAGAGTGGCCGGAATCGACTAGATGCCCCAAGATAGAGCTTCTGAATGACTTCTGTAATCCTTTAAAGAGCCAAATAGGGTAATGTTTGGAGATGCGTTTCGAAAGAACTCGCTTCGTGAGGCCAATATAACCTGCTTCACATGAGCAAGTAAATTGATACATGCACACTGAGTTGGTTATCAAGTGGACAATTATTTTACCTTACCACTTTTCACTAGCCGATTATTACGTACCTTCCTTTCAATATTTGATTTTCAAATGTTCACAACATACCACTTCAAGAATTTATTAATCAATTAGCATCGATATATATTTCGCTTCCTTTCTATTCGTATTTTATTTTGTTGATTTACAAGAATTTATGTGATATCCCGGAATATAGTATAATGGATATATGTACTACAAAACAATGTTTGGAATGCAAAACGCTAAAATTCGGATTAGGACTAATAGTTTTTTTTTAATAAATTTTAAGTATGCTACTTCAGGCGATTGAGTAATGTTGAAAATGTATTACTGATATTTGGTACTACAATATGCTAAAAAATATGTATCATATTTACTAGGTTATACAAAGTAACGAATGAACTCTGGGGATATGCACACACATTAATTGGTAATAAGCCAGTAAATACTTAACACTAAAAAGACTTTCCATAGTACATAGGCTAATAAAATAGATGAAGTAAAATGTAGTTAGGTAAATAGTTTATTAAGTACGGATCTGTACAGTTTAAGTATAAGGAGCCTAGAGCTTTACTAGCCAACTGTCAAAAGCAAGGTAGATAAAAGTTTAGACACATAATCTACTGTTTGAATGCTCCAAACTCTGACCAATGCTCTACCAATTAAAATGAGTAGTAATTTTGCCGATATTATACTAAGACTCCTTTATATTAATCTGACACAAACTTAGAACAGTTCAGTATTGAGTTTTTGGTTCATGTACTAGTAATAGCAATTATATGATAAGGTTGAAGATACTTCACTGGAAATTCCTCAAACCTAAGTAGATGGACCGAGAGTGTTCGAACAAACAATCACCATAACTTTATTGTTCAAATAACGGGCTTAGAGCTTAACTGACCAGGTTACCAACTTTAGTTAGACAATAATAGGGTGAAAAATTAAGGAAAGTTAAAAGATTGAATAAATTGCTTACCACTACTTTGTGTTTGACAATATTGTTTGTTAGAATCAGTTACATTTAGACTTAACTGTTCAACACCATTTTTGATTAAGTTAACATCATTTTGTTGTTCATTTAAGGAGTTCTCTAAATTATTCTTTTTAGGATTTACCGGTTTTAAGTAATTAGGATTGTTTTGTTGATTTTGCAACCGTTTTGAACGCATCTGAATGGATATTTATCAATAAAACAAAATGGGCAATTTAATACAATTAATCTTATTGACAGTTGTACAAATAATCCCAATTACTAGAAAAAAAACTGTTATTTTAACAACTACTACTTATGAGTATATGTCACACGCTTAATTGTTATTTAAATAAGGCCATAGAAGATTATTTGAACATCTTAACAATAGATTCTTTTACCTTCATTGTAAGATGAGAATATTTACGATGACAACAGACCATCATGATTGAAATATTATGCACACGTTCTAAACTAATGCATTATGTTGGTGAAAGTTCACTAGGCGTTGGTGGTTTCACAAATTAGTGACAGCAACTTTGTTGTATGTTTTAAAAGTAAACATATGACAAACACAATCCATTCCCAAAACAATAGGATATTAACTAAAAATCAATTTAAGATAAATAATCAAGCCAAACAAAAATAGATAGTTTTCTGCGTATAATCTGTGAATTTCGTACTATAACTATAACCCTTTAGATAGATGGAACCCAAATTTGTCGTCTAGTCATTAGGGTTGAACCAAGCTGTAATAGTTTATATCGGTTCGCTAGTTAAATGAACTAATTTCAAAATAATATCAGCCGACTAAAACAGGATTATAGTGGTGTATCTGTAAATGCTTTTAAATGAATACAAATAAACAAGTTATTCTGATGCAGAGTATGGTTTTAAAACTGATATGATCATGACTAATTTACATTGGTTATTTGAATCTTCCCACTGATGATGAGGACTGCAATTGATCAGTCTCCAGGATGTAGGTACATTCAGCTAACGAAACCCAAACAGGATGAAACGTGCATCTCAGACTTTACTACTTGTCACCATCTATCTTTGTTATGAACATGATTTGGCTATCAAAATGATAAACAGAAAGTCAGTTGATAGCCGATGTACAATGCTGTAAAGTGGTCAACTAACAACTGCTCAAAAGATATAAACTATTGACGTAATCTTTAAAATCAGCTGTTGATAGTAAAAGACAATATAGCTGGTTAAGTGATATACAAAAGCAAAGTATTATTAAAAGAAACTAACAAGATTTGATTTGATTCAAAACACATACAATTATAGGATACAGAACTGATTAATTTGCTTCTTATCATATCAATCCTTAACTAAATGTAATCATATTATACACAAGTAATATGGAATGAGTACTAATTTCAAACAGTAGTTGCTGTACTACACTATGTCACGCACATATAATCAATATTTGAAGCTCATAAATACCAGTGTAATAAGATGGGTTAGTTTGTTAATTACTTAGTATAACGATTTCAGAATTCAGTTATACAGTGCGAATCATATTAGTAAAATCATGCAACACTAAGAGGGCAGTTTTACCATATGAATGACTAGTGAGTCACAAAACGGACTGTCGACAATCTTACAGAAATTTTTAAAATATTCTTTTTCATTTGGTATGTTTGGTTTATGGCTAGCAACAAAGTCCAGAACACTCAGTTTTTCCTACTTTGGACTCATTAGCACTTTAACATTGATGTTCCATCTTGAGACTCGAAGTCGGTACCTTTCGTTTTAAGCTCAAACGCGTTATCCATTAAGCTAACAGGTGTCCAACAGACAATACAAAACTTTTATTAAGAACTATTTTGTAAATAATCCCTTGAAATAATTTAAAACTAAAAAATTTAAAAATAAACCATAATCATTTACCTCCTCCAACTGTTCAGCTGTTAGTTGAACAGTTTGAGATTTACTATCTTGTAAACCGAAGAATATATCACATTCATTATTGACCGATTCATTGTTCCAATGAATAGAACGATGATCATCAGTGTCATTTATAGATTTCTTTAAAAAGAGAACGAAAAGGGTTAGATAAGTGTATAGGGTAAATTAGGAGTGAAAGAAAATTAAACGTATTGTACAGTAAAGTCAAAAATCGTCGGCTCCGGTAATTACTGCAACATCCTCCACATAGATATATAAGAATAAAGCCAAAGTAGCTGGGGTTAGATCACAATGAGAAGACACAAGATTGTCAAAAGTGAAAAAATACTTAACAGTTAAGCTGAAATGCCTGTTCAAGGATATATTAAACATAAATGAATCAAATGAAAATACTTTTGTATGATAATTCTAACGAAAACTTTTAAAATGAACAATTGAGAGTAACTAACCCCAATAAAATCTAGTGCATTCGTCCACGGTTGTTTACGAACTGGTACTGGTGGATTAATCCAAGCGTCTAAATCTAACCCTTCGGGAATAGGAACTTTTTTCTGAGCTTTTGGTGCTACAGGGATGATTTCACCGGTGAACAAAGCACTTAGTTCATTTATAATTGATTGAATTAAATTGAGAATCACAGTTGGTGATACTATGGAGGTAATTGAAGGCATAGTATCAATTTGAATTGAATTACTTCGTGAATGAGGTTGTGTGTCGACCCTGTTGTCACCTGTATTGTTATTGATATTAGTAATATTAATAGAAGAACTGGTGAGTTGAGAATTATGAAACTGATCAGGTAAATTGTCCAATGATTGATGATTGGATAGTGAAGGTGAAGAAAAATCACTGTCCAAAATTAATGTTGACGGATTATTATTTTGTTGTAAAGTTGATGAACTGGATAAAAAGGATTGAATTTTTGTAAAACGCTTCGACACTAAACTCAATACTTGGTGAATCGATACAGCCTTAAAGTTATTTGAAATAAGAGAAAAATAACAAGGAAGAAGATAGAATTAACATCGAGGAATGAATTTGATGAAAAAAAGGGTTTGTATAGTACTGTATGATTGAAAACAAATAAAAATATGATTAACCTAACCAGGTATTTACACTTTTTGAAATTAGTCTTATGAGCGAATTTTAATACGCTAGTTAATGAAATTAAATCGATCATATGAGGCTATGAACATATAGTATAATCAGTCAGTCATCTACAACGTAGGACCAGGCACATATGATAGTTTTAATACCAAGTTATGAATTTTCTTTCATTTATTAGCAATATATGTATATAGGATTAAATAACTTACACGTTCTTGAACTTCTAAATCAGATGAATGAACATACTGGATAAATTTATCCATAAGAAAATTTGTCAACTCTATCAGATGAATAATTAAATTTTGTAGAGTCTTTAAACTTGTAACTTGATCATCTACAGTTTCAGTATTATTATGATGTTCGTTGTCACTCATATCAATTAAATGTTCACCGTTTTCTTGATACTTTTTATTTGTAAACGTCGAAGGTAAGCTTTGAATAGCTTTACAAGTCATGCTTTTAATGACAACACTGTATATTTTAAAAGCATTAAATATAAGAACGGCTTGAATTGAACTAGATAGACCGGGTAGTTCAAGGGCAATTGAAACAAGTGAATTCAATGTTTGTTCTGGATTGTTTAGACTACTAAAATACAAATAATAAAATGAGACAGAGAAAGATTACAGTATAAAGAACAATAATACTTAGGATAACAATATTAATTTCCAAGGTAGTTATGCCATATTTATTTAATAATAATTTTGAGGTACAAGCCACTATCGATAAGCTGTTTATGAATAGTTGCTATGTGAATAGGTAACAGCCACTATTTACATGTAGACAAACTGAGTGTGAAATCTTTTTTATCTAAGGCCTAATCGACTTACACAAGATTAGATAAGAATATATCATCATTGGATGATGGTTCAGCTTTCATAGTACTGGGTTGATAATCACATGATTAGCAAATACAATGCTGCATATACGTTACTAATTTATTCAAGAGAAAATATTTAACTGACTATTAATTCCAAGAAGAGACTTTACACCTATTCACTAACAGATCAAACGTTCATTGTTTTTTGCTTGTAACATTTGTAGAATTCTGAATCATGTTTTACTCATTAGTAACCAGTGTTTTTTTCGTGGTATTTTTCCTGCTAACTTGGAAAATGTCAAAAGAAGTAGGCACTGGATTGATTATAATTTCATTTCCCATATTGAAGAAATCGTATGGTATTTGTTAATCAGTCATTCAGTGTTTCGATGTATATATTATTTATAGGAAATGCTAAACTACATGAATATATTACACTTTGGTAAATCTCAAGTGTTTAGTATTTGATTGGAATGCTAAAATAGTTGTTTTCTTCAACAAGGCGGCAGAAAAAGCCCATAATTGAATTGTGAAACTGAATATCTTCAATATAAATCGAAGAACTAGTGTGAATCAGTGTTCAGTCAAAAGAAATGCATACCATGTAGTAACGTACATATTACTGTCAACGAATAAGGAAGTGAATATGAGGAAAACACAACTCAGAAAATAGACCAAGACCATACTTTTTAAATATGAAGGTTTAAAAACCACCCCGGGTTGATAAAACTAAAATATATCAATAAATATTCGAAAAGTTGTATACATACATGATTGTAAGCTACCGGTCCACGACAAAAAAAGGAAAGTTCAATAAAAAGAAACGATAGGAAACAAGCTAAAATTTCGAATAATGACATAAATACTGTTAACTATACCATTGAACAAGGTTCATAGTTATTATATGATTCTTGCATGAGAAACCTGGCAATAAACGATTCACAGAAATTAATGTTACCTTTTAATAATAAGTAGCAGAATAATAATTCATTTACCAGGTTTGTGTATTTGATTTCCAGTTACATTAAGCACCAAAAATGATATGAACCAGAAATAGAGAACGTTGTGAAGAAATAAAGGAAAGGTGGAGTGCAGTCGAAAACAAAGTACATAAACACGAATAGTACATAATGGAAAATACAGTTCAGTTAAAAGTACGACTAAGGGTGATTTCTTTCAATTAACAGAGTGAATTTAAGAGGAAACCACAGTAGAATCATCAGTGACTTCTATTCCGAGCTACCTCTTTATAATGTATCAAGCCCCAACCAGGGAGTCAGGATGGACAAACACACCAATTTTACACCGTTTTCTTGCATATCGCCAAGTTGTGTCGTAAACTGACCAGTTCTTAGCTTTCTCCTCCTCCAGTGTCGGAAAATAATACACGAGACAGAAGCGGCTGAGATGACATTTTTAACACATGATGTTCAAGCCAAAGAAGCTAGTGTTAAAGAATACAATTATTCCTAATTAATATTTGTTGCTATGATGCAGCGTTAAAATATATATAAAGTAAGTCGATACAATTAAATCTGTAACAATACAGAATACATGAAATTAACTTCAAATCTTACTCCGCATATTCGCCACATATCCATGCTGCTGCACGAAGTGTTTCTTGAATAGCATTTTGTTTACCTCCGCTTGTTAACGACTGACTAATATCCAGTAATATAGCCATTTGTTCAACACAGAAAGTTCGAACAGTCGGTACGCGGATGGAAACATCCATAAGTTGAGCAGCTAATAATTCACCATTTCGAATACCATCAATGCTAGCTAATTCCACAAGAACAGTAACATACCTAGTTAAAAGAGCATTAAAATTTTACAAAACCATAAGTTATGGATTGGAATTTACTTGTATTGAGAATGAATGAAAAAAAGGTTCAACAATTTTACCAACCACTGAATAACTTCATGATTTAGTGTATCATGCTTTGCTTGAGTCACCACTTTAGAACTTTCTCACCCCACTATTATAACAGACAGTAACGTACGTTAGTGTCGGTGGTGGACAGACTTGCTAGATAAATTTTCCCACTAATTTACATGATGCAAAATTCTACTCCAGATGTCAAAATGATTTCACAACACACGAGAACTGTGCTCATAGATCATATGTGATTGATTATCTATTAATGTTAATATTTCAACCTTAAGGTAAAGTGGATAGGAAAACACCAAACAAGATTTGGATACAGCTAAGCAACTGCTTATTTTCATCTAACATTACTGTTTTTTTATTTTTCTTATCTTAGCTACCTATAACTTTTTGGGACTCCAAAGTATTCCTTGGAAACGTCAATAAGGACTCAGGAAACGTTGGAAAACATTTTATCTAATTGGCACTGAACAGAAGCTTCCCAGGAACATCTAGAAGGTGTAGAGTCACGTGTCACATTTGTGATTTGATATTTATCTATGGTGCTGCTATATTTAGTATGGTTCCAGAAATTTCCAGAAGCCAAAACTCGTCTATAATTCTAGAAATACCCTCGCTTTTGTACACAAATTAACTTTGAAGTACAGCGTTTTTCTCACACTTCGCACCTTTTGTGTTCAAGTTGCTATGCAGTCTGGGGTTATCAGAAGTATCTGGGAAATCGGATCGACAGTTCATTTGGTAAGACATCAATAACCACTTCATATCGCTGCGCAGATACTTTATCACTTTGTGTTCAAACACTTTTTTACTTCATGTCATGTTCAGAAACACATTAGGAGATTTCAAGTATCCAATAAATTTATTAACTTTTTCATAACTGTTAGATTATTAAAGGCCTTTACCGCTGCTTCACAACAGTGATTATACAGCGTTAGAAGTAACTGAAAATTCGTATCACTTTGCATTAGGTATTTAGCCATTTCTTCTATACACATATTTTCGTTTAAGGACTGATCATAGAGTTATCCAACTAAAACGTCTCTGAGTCCAATATCACGCAAATAAGACTGCTCAAACCAAGATGTAGTTTCATTGTAAGTGTATATCCAAGAAGTGGAGGTAGACCATTAATACTGTATGTCTTTAAGAAATGCACATCGAATTTATCGACACTCAAACAGTGAATCGAGCAGATTCATACCACCGATTAAAGTCAAGTGAAAAACTATGCACGGATCAATTACGTGTGACTCAAAATAAATCACACATCCATGATATATGATATCAGTTTTTTGATCGGTGAGTCTGGCTGTCTGACTAAATACATAATCTAGGCATAGGAAGTTTTAAAATCACAATTTAAGGAGACTAGTTATGTTATTTAGCAAACAAGATAGTCAACATTGACTATATATGCGAAAGTGTAAAGAAATGACGGGGAAAATAAAATTTTAGATTAATTCGACTTAAGTGTGCTGGTGATTTACAGTACTTTTTTCTACGCACTGAGGAAATTTACTAAGAAATCAGAATAAATCGAAAATTTCACTGAACAAACTATCAATTTGAATACACGACTACAGCGACTCTTAAATGAACTAGTATACTAGAGGAAACTACATTTGTCAATATCGTTGAGTTAATCTGTTCAAGCTTCAAATAATTTGTCCAATAATAATGACGATTTCATGGAATTTTCCACCACACCCCATTGGCACAGAGAGATGGGATTGTCAGATCGAATCCCATAGTAGGGGTAGTAACGGTATCAGTGATAAATTTGACTAAAGCAAGAACAAAGAACACAGCAAAATAGTGTGAATTCATTTATATCACGGATTCCTCTGTCCCACAAGGTATGTACATCGTTTTGTTTCTTAACTAATTAACACTACTGTTTCTATGATGAAAGTAGCTGAAGAAAATCCGCGAAATAATTTAATTCACAGTATTCTGCTACGCGTTTCGTTCTTGCTTTAGGTAAGTAATAATAATCTTAATGATAATAATGACTAACACTATACACAGCAATACAAAACAATAGCTTTGTAACTCACCATTCAAATGATGTAACATTACGATAATTATCTTGTGAACATATATACACAACTTTACTTAATAATTCATTACGATAATGTAAACCAGATGACGAATTGCCAATATGTATCATCAAATGTTTAACAATATCCATTAGATTAGTTTTTGATACCATACCATGTAGTAAATCCAATGCACGTAGTCGAATCGATTCATCTTTATCATCCAGACAACCTAATATTAAATCTTTATGAGGTTGTACACTTTGTGGATGATATAACAGAATTTTACGCATTGCTAATAGTCCAAGATATTTTACTTGAGAGAAAGCAGTCCAGCAAAAGAGAAATAAACAAACAATATGAGCAGGTTGAAAACATGAAACTAAAACGTTTTTTTCGAGAAAAAGGCTATAGAACTAGGATTAGTCAGATAAACATAAGCAACATCAAACCAGACAAATATGTTGAACGATCCAAATAGTTAGATTGTATTAGCACAGCGATATTCCGGGGTAGTGGAAGTAGTGACAGTATCAGTGTAGTTAGAAAAAAATGTGCATAAACAGTGTGATGCAAGAAAATTGAATCCCTGGAATAAGAATAACAAAGTAATCTTGAAAATCAAGATTTAAAGGAAGACAAAGAATAAATACACCTGCATCTAATGCGACCGACTCTGAGCCATGTTACTCAACATCTCCAACCATTCGCCGTTACAATCATATGAAATCTGACCTAGTAGTCTATATTAACGACATGGATAAATCCAATAGTCAATGACTCTATGGGGTTGATGCCATGTCTTAGCTTGATTGACTATAAGTTTCTCTTAGCCTGTTCCTACACCAGCTAACAACTACCATCGAGGTAGCTAGGCAGTGGTCGAGCACACGTAAGAACTTGGATGACAATCAAAGTAATTTACATATAATTTAGGCCCAAAATCGAGTCATACACAGGGAGTATACACAGTAGGTACATATATATTATTTAGTTGGTGAATAGAGTGCGTGATAAAAATGAAAATACAGTCCATAAATTATTATTAATATTTTTTGGAACTTACAATTTTGATCTGAATCTTCAATTAGGATGCGTAATTTTTGAACGCATAACTATAAAAGAAGATAATAGTTGAAACAAACTATCCCTATGATATTTTAAAATAAAACTAAAAGATTAAATGTGACGACCGAAAACCAAACAAATTGAACTTTACTGATTTGTTCAAATAAATGTGGATATGGATAAGTAAATTAGTAACCTGTAATACTTCTATTAAAATTTATTGAATAGATTTTCCTACCTGTATAGAAGCTTGATGACTAGGAATTCCAGAAGATATTGATATTAATACTAGAAATGAAAAATGGAAAGAATCGATGTATTAAAAATCATTAATTGATTAATAAGTTATATTTAAGAAAGATTGGTTTCAGTTAAGGCATGACTGAAAACAACAGAATACTTGGCAGTTGTTTCATTCTAGTATAGAAATCATCATCAGTGCGCACTAATAACTCTATCAGTCAAATCTAGGACCTTTAAGTTTCACAGTCAGTCACATACAACGTAGAACCTGGTGCGTATGTGCATTGATTCGAGTTGCCATACCCCATTAGCACAACAAGATGAAATCTCCTAAGTAAACCCCAGAGTAGTACGAACAGTAACAATACCAGTGGTAATAGTAAAGATTAGGCATAGAAGATATGACTAAAAAATATGGATCAGTGGAGTAAGTTTCTGTGAAGTATTTTAGAAACTTTTGATCTAAAGGAAGACAGAGAGTGAATGAACTTATACCACAGAGAATGATACTGAGCCACATCTCTACTCATAGTTACGATGATTGCCCGGATCTCAACCATGTAATTCACACTAACCTACACGGTTCGATTCAGATCTGGAGACGATTGTTTAATTATTAGAAACGCTGGGTTTGTGTAAAGTAGTATAATTTTGACTCCAATCGTTTTGTGATACAATGGAACAGTCATCCAATATGATTGGAACATCCTTTTACTAGACAAAAAACATTTCAACTAGATTAATTTATATAACACATTCACTAAATAAAAATTCGTGTAATGATAGAGATATGCAACTCAAGTGATTAGTATCATGTCAATTTCTAAATCAACAATAATATGAGATTACGGTTGACGACAACAGCAAAGTGATAAGTTCATGAGAGATAACTTGGTTGTTTTATACAAAAGTTTATGAAAACAAAAACATGATCTGCAATACACTACCCCGCTACTACTTATGCTTTCCTACTATTCCAATAGTTAAATGAGACAATACGAAATAAACATGACTAATCAAATTATTTAATCACATGTATTAATAAAATGCACATACCTGCAACAACTGTATTTATACATTCATATAACAATGACATTGCTGAAGTACTGTAAAGCAAATTATTTTTAAAGACACAAGTTAGGTCATATCACACTAGATATAATGTTAATTTTATAATTAGAATGGGGTTTTTGGAGATTGTAGTAATTTTCAACAACTGAATTCATGATTCGATTTCAGCTAGACTACCATTGGAAACCTGGAAACACTGGACGGGCGTTTCGTCCTAATATGGGATCCCTCGGCAGTGCACATGCATGGATGTGCATCGAATCATGAATTCAACTATTTAAAATTTCATAATTAACTAGATGAACAATCAGAAGCTATGTAAACATAAAGCAATTAACCAACAAATGATTGTTTTTTTTCAAATTGGAGGGAAGTAAAACAGTTGTTCCATGAGTATATGCAGGTTAATTTATTGGAAATAAAAATTATGAACGACATACAAACATGTAAGATAAAGCTTAAAAAACCAAATTTAGATCAGGATGTCAATGACTGCTACAAACAATTAAGCTAAAGAGAGACATGATATAGTGCCTAGAAGAAAGTTGCATTGATTTGATTTATTGGATATATTAATAAAAAAGATTCAAGGGGCTAAAAACAAAGAGAAGGATGAAAATAAGCGACGACCGTATGAGAAGACATGAAGCAGTTAAGTTCAATATTATTCATGATTTAAAGGGATGCAGAGAGAGTGAGTGATCTCAGTTCTTGTAACCTAAAGTTTATAACCATTCATTCTGGCATTTCAAGGGCTTGAAACTTCAACTTGCGAGTCATTTTATACGTTGTTTGCAGGCAACACTGAGACAACATAATTTACATATTGAAAGTAGAAAATTTACATCCCCACCGTACATACTATTTAAATGTTTTTCAATTAATTAAAGAAATCTGTCAACACGTGGAGGTTCGCAAAATTAGGTTACAAAAAGAATACTGATACTACCTTGAAGTTAAAACAGAAATAAACGGAGAGGTTCGAACTTGTGACTTAAAGGTTTGAAGCTAAACAACGTTAACCATTAGACCGTCACTTCTCTCCCTTTATTAGGACGAAATGAATTTCTAGAATTGATATATAACTTGACAAATACATTACTTCTATAAGCTAAATAAAACTGAACACCATAATAATTGTTCATTAGTATATCCCATTTTTTTAAGATTATTATATTAAGGTTTGAGATGAAACCCATGTATATCATTCCGTGATACCAAAGAAATTCAGAATGATTAACCAAGTAAGAAAACTTAAAAATCATCCCCAACATTATTTTTTAGCATATATTAACCTGTCTACTTACCTATGGATTAAATTGGTTAACGGTCCGATTAGCTTTTTGCCTAGTCTTGGTTCCAAAGGTGTCAATGTGCCAAACTGATAAAAAATATAGAAAGTATGCATATAAGAAATAAGGATGACAGTAATTTACTCAAAAAGAAAAATACCTTTAAACAAAACAAGTGATACCACTTTTTGTAAATATTCAAGTGAGCCGAAACATATCAGTGGAATATATTACGGTAGATTTCCTAAAAATCCCTCTACTTATTCAATTAGAAAAAACATGAAACAAAGATGATCTTGTTTTAGAAGAAATGGCACATCATCTGTGAAAAACGTATTTACTATTGCTAATACGTCAATTACGACTCAATTGTACGGTAGAGTATTTGAAGTTATATTCAGGGAAAGAGTAGCTACAGAACCAATGAAAACCACAGAACAGTGTTCATCCATGAGCAAACAGGATCGGTCTTAAAACCTTCCACGTCTTATGGTAAGATGCTTGATTTACGATCTAATAATAAGCAGTTTTTGCTCCAAATTATCTGTAGTTGCTTTCTCCTGTTATCCCTTCTGAAGGAGCATAGGCCGCCCACCAGCACTCTCCATTACTTATGATAATGTACGATAATCACCTACTGTGACAGGCGATACTTATCCTGCTCTAGATTGAACACCGTTGGTCACGGACTCATGTTGAAACTGGTTACTACTAAGATAGAATGTATGCAGGAACCAATCTATTCGAAGTTAGTTTGCTTGCTTGGGTAACTATGGAGTATCACTAGTCCTCAAATTCATAAAAAAGCATAACTCAAAGCCCTGAGTACATCAACTCATTTTTTGCTCAATCTATCAAATAGTTTAGTATGCAAAATTTGGGTCTGATTTTTATTCTTCCATCCTAATAATTCATAACGATAGTAACGACAGAAGTAATGGTAATAATTTCCGATAAACAGTGGAAAAACGGCCACCTATCCCAGCATTATTTGAATTACGGCTGTCGAACTGCTAAACTAGTCAGATTGTAGCTAAGTGATATAAAGTAGTAGACCAACATTTGTTTTAATGTTTTGTGATTCACGAACACATCGCATAGAGCAAAACAATATGTAAATTTTTATGAACAGATTCGTAATTAGTTGAATAAATGATTGAACTGTAAATGTGATGTATTATTAGTAGGAATGAAAGAGTGTCTGTTAGTATACACATACAACACGAAATATGAAAAGGCTAATCTAAAAAGCTACTTTGTCGAAGTATCTATGAGAAAAAGCGCAGATCCTTAATTTGGGAGAAATAGTCTGGAGAATTTAAATTCTTATAGTCTAGAGACCTAGTTACATATATAGACATTAGGTGAGTTGTTGATTTTATTAACTAGCGAATATGCACAGGAATCGTTTGAGACCAGAGTAACGTCAGATGGGAAATAGGTTTCCATCAATTTATAGATACCTTAAGTGAGTTAAATCATACATTTAAACAATGGTAGTAGAAACTTGAAAATATTACAACAAATATGCTCACCAATTTAATGATTTTGATAAGAACCCAATTATTTGATGATGTAGTCATAAGTTTAAAAAATATGGGTGAAAGTGATAGGTAATTCTTTGGATTTTTACGTGCCAACTCACATATTACATTAACAGCCGCTGATTGTACACCTGAAACAGACAAAGCATAATAGAATAAAATACTCACAATTTTCCACTACTTAATTTCAGGTTCAAATCTTGCTCCATATAATTCAGTCGGTCAAGGAGTATCATTAACCTCCACGAGCAAAAATATGATTTAAAGCTTCGAATAAACAAATCTACACTTGAATTACTGAATTCAATCAAATCAAATCTTAAATCGTTGTCAGAACGTAATGATTTTTGCATCTAGAACTAAAGAACTGGTGTTTTAACCAGAAATAATATGGTCCAATTAACTCGGATGATCATAATAGTGTTTCATACTATTATAGCGAATCATAAGTGGGTTGTAAACGGAATCTACTGGTATTATTTTATTTATAACATTAAGATGTACTACTTAATTACTCCTGGAGCCCTTCTGTGGATAAAAGAGAGTTGAGTGTAAGATTGGCGACTAAAAAACAACGTAAGGAAGAACCTCGCCATAGAACTGCTGACTACAGAAAGTTGATCAAATTTTGCTCTGCGAGGAAGTCACACTACTTAATATGGTAATGTTTAAGTACCGGATATACATGCTTTCTGACAAATGTAATCACTAGTAAAGTATAAAGTCTTCTAACGCTGCCAATTTACTTTTTTAAAGGAATTAGCAGAGCTCCAACTTGAAAGCATAAGCAAAACTAAAAATGTGTCTCAACCACTAACCATTGTGATAGTAAAACTAATTAAAATTTCAAAAATGAAGTTACACAGGAAATAAATGAAAAGTCAGTCTTTGAGACTAATCATGTTTTTATGGTAAATAGAGTACATGCATATTTACGAACCTTCACTTTATTGGTCTAGAGTTTATTATATAAAAAGTACAGTTACTAATTTGACATTGACCAGTAACATCTCCAAAAATGTATAGTATTTGTCGTTGGTATAGTTAATTTTACTTCAGTAATAAATTTTCAACAGACATTTAGAATAAAACCCTATACAAAATTGTTTGAGATATGGTTTTTGACTTTTCCATACCATGTTCTTATATGATTGTTGTTAAAAGTGTAAAATTTATTCACACACAGTTATTTCGCCTATATTAACACGGTCTCGCTATATATTTGTTATCTAGAATTTCTATGAAATTTAACGATACTAAAGATAAGAGTGGACGACTGCATGGCACGGCCCCGAAAAAATTGGAACCTACCTGGGTCTGGATCGTCCAGCTTGTCTTTCAACTGTGGGAAACAAATACGAAGTGCTTCAGGATAATTAAGGAAAACTTTGTATAATAATAATACGGCTTTCTTTCGTAAATATGGTTTTGGAGAATTCATCTTAAATGTAAAAGAAGCGAGAAAAAATCGTGATCAAGAGAATATTGGATGAAACGTCAAAGAACTGAACCCAGAATAGAAACTGAACAATATATGAGGCAGCCCTAATTAGAGAGAAAGTAGATTTGCATTTCTGTTCTACGCTAAGACAATGATAAATGAAGGTCACCTTGGTTGTTACATCAACTGGAAAATAGTTACTACACTTTTGGTTCTGTTACTGCTAAGTCAAACTGACACGCTTGCCAATGTTTAAATTTATTACATGTCATCTAAATATGTGATCTATCTACGTAGGAAATAAATACAAATTTTGGGAGCAATGAGATCTATAATACATAGCCTTACTGAGTAAGAACATATTTCTGGTGTTTCATAAGTTAAGAGTAAAACGTAATATTTCAGAAATAGGACTTCTGCTTGAAGCTTATTCTAAGTTTGAAACCAATGGACTGTAATTAGACGATCAGTCGGTGCAATAACCACGATCGAGGGATGAAGGCATTGAGTGACATGGCTAAGCATCGATCGCAATGACACAAATCCATGTACTGTTTGTCTTTTTTTTAGATCTTGAGCTTCAGTATTACTTCATACATGTTCTTTCATACTATATCCTCAATGTTTAGACTCTCACTATCATTGCTATGATATTATTTTGAATTATTTACGCTTTACATTGTTAATCTAATCACAACGCACTAACAGTATAGCAAATTGGAGTAACATTTGATTACGAATTTCCAGTGAGTAGCTAGTTCGTATAGTTAAGCGCGTATTAGTAATGCTATTGTGGTTAAAAACTGACACTACGAAGACAACATTTTTTAAAAGTTGGTTAGAGTTGCGCATATTTGATTTAAACTGACTATAAATACTCCTAAGAAATAGCTGCATATCCAAATACACTTTGTCTCTCAACCCCAGCCAAAGTGTATTTAAACTTCGTGTGTGCAATTCCTATGGTTTATTTCATGATACTTCGGCTCAGGGTTTGATCAGCAAATGCCCTAGCACAGCTGGGAGTTTTTTAAAAAACTTGAAATGTTATTAAGGTTTCGCTAAGGCGAAAAAACCCAACACAATTCTTCGTTCAGACATTGCTTACTATAAACCAAGGACCAAAGAATGTCTATGCCATATGAGTTATTACTGATAAGAATCTATCAAATCCAAACTAACTAGCTTAGCAAACACAGGGGAAGGGTCTTAATGACACTTCCGAACCAGTCCATAAAAATCAACGTTACTGATAGAGCCTCATCACTGAAGCAGATGTACATGTAATGATATTGAGGCGATCAAAGCAAGGTATAATTTTTAAAGGCGATAGTGGTGGTCATTTGTGAAAACTGACTGGAAAATACATTTATAGCCAATGACGACTCAAGTAAAAGGTGAGGGATTTCTTAAACTAATTTGTACTTTGACTTGGGAAAAGCCAGCCATAAAGAACCTCCGAAAACAAATACTAGGCAGGTATCTACACAATATTTTTATTACTTAGTATTGCCATTTAATAGGGTGGAAATACGTTCGATACCATAACCTGAGGGGAATAACTGTCACTCAAGTAGTCACTATACCACTAGGGAGTAAATTGTGCGGATATCGGAACTTACCAGACTCAGAATGTCAGAGTACAAATCCGTGGCAAGATCCGGATTAATGAAACATGCAACACCCGATAAGGCGATTCCAGCATCATACAAGTTACAGCTCATTAAATCCTATTCCATTTAATCCTGTATATAATTGTTACCTTGCGAATAAGATTAGTGGCAAGCATGAGGACATCTGTACCAGAATGAAAGCTCTGAGAAGCTGCTAAATACCCTATACGTTTGAAGGTGAATTTCTGAGAACTCATAACCTCAACGATATTGAACACAGCCCAACTGGTATCATAACCCAGCATTTGAATCTAGGCAATTTTAAACGGGAATCTTATCAACTCACGTATAATAATTTGCTAATAGCATTGGCCTTGACTGAAAATGAACTGTCTTTCAACTCATTTTTAATTTCATCTAGACATTGACCTATATATTTGGCCTGGTTTATAGTTACATGAAAATATTGCACAGAAGTACCTCATCCACACCGTGCTTCCTAATTCCGCGAACAAGATCTTGTGGATTTTTATCAAGTACTCTTTCTAACTTTCCCTTTACTACAGAAAGTGCCATTATCGGAAAAGCAGCATGAATCAAGCGCCCTCAGCAGAGTACAACATACAACCTTTGTGATTAATACAAACACGTTCATGCATCGTAGACACTTAATATACGTTTAGATGACTGTACGTGGAGTGGGGAGAATCCCTATTACTATGTTTTCTGCTACCAATGGATATCTGTGTTGATAAATCCAACGGCAGGATTATAGGCTAGCTAGTATCGCTCAGTGTGGTGTTTAAGTTACTCAGTTACAGTGATCCAGTTACAGGCTGGTGGGCTTATGACAATGATCGTAGTGTCATAAATAATGTTGACAGTAATTATTTTTTAGTAATCCTTCATATACGGTTGCTTCAGCGAAGGACGGTAAGTCATTGGAGTGTTCGTATTCATTAAACCCCTCTTAACCCCGTTCATTGAAAAGGTGGTGGTTGCTTCGAAGGAGCATTTTAGTTATTGCAAACCATTTATGATAAAACACGTGATCTTGCTTTGGCAATGGCTCTCTGATGTTCAACATTTGTTGTTTGCCCCATAAAGCGGTATGTTGATGTTGGTATACGATCTTTTTATTTGAGGAAACAGAAGTGCTACACATGTCGCACACTAAAATCTCCACCGTAGACGTAACAGGTGGAACCACGGGTGATGAAGTTTGTCCTCCCGAGGTTTACCGCTTAAGTTTAAGAATTACGCCTCCATGCTCCTTTCAAGAAATTTATACCTAAGTCCTAGATACGGAATTCAGTAACCTCTTAGGTTCTAAGATGTGATCGGATGCCGTATCGCGAGATGCTCAGTATTTGACAGACTTGTTTTCATTCAGGGGATGTGAGAAGTATAGTGGATATCGGCCATTTTTAAGAAGTACGATAATTGCGGAGGAAATAGATGTCTTGATTCCTTCCTGTAGCCTGAAGCTACATCGTTTTATACTTTTGGAGATTGAAAGTCAGACTGCTCTAGGATGTCCGTTTCTTCAGTAGCATCGAAACAGGTCATTTATTGGATAGCAAAGTGCTTCATAATGTTCATGTACGAGTCATTTCAATCCTTTTGTGGTTCAAGTTTCTATAAAACTGTCGGGTTAACAGAAGGAGCTTTGAAAATCCCTTCTAAATGTTTGGTCGATATTATTACTATTTTTATTATACATAAACGGATGATTCGTGCATAAGAGTTGTGAACAAACTATTTCGGGTTTCTTCAGAAATGCACATACCCACAAGTTTAAACCATGTTTACACAATATTCGTTATATTTAAACAGGTTTTGTATTATCTAGAAGATCATCAAGTTTCATTAATTTTCCTCCCTGCCTTGTAACTTAACTTTTAACGAGAATTCGTGTAGACATAACTTTATATTTATCAATCTTGTTTTACCATATCATTATTAATGACTTTAGTTAAGATTCACTGTTATTATTAAATTTGTTGCATGATAACTGGTCATTGATGATGAGGTGTTTCTTGACTGAACCCAAGTTTACGGTGTCTGGCGGCTAACCTTTGTTATTCTGTAAAAGACTTCTGTAAACGATTGACTGGATCATTGTGGGAACATTATTTTGTACTGCTTTGTTAAGAGTAGTCTCACTGATCGTTTAGTGCTTGATAGCAACTTATTAACCGCTTTTCATTTGTTGTACTCGATGTTTCTTTGTAGTATATAAACTGTATGGAGAAATCTGCATTTTGTGCGATTGAGGTATTTTGTATGCATGATATAGTTTTTTTGTTTTTCCTCCACATTAGAGCCTTTCATATTAGGGGAAAAGTTTTGTATTTCGATTAGTGTAATACTGATGATTCAGAAAGGCTTAATACGTTATACAGACAAATATTATTCGACCTATTTAAATAGTCATCAATTCGCTGTACCTTAGGAAGTACTGGAATTCTGTTCATTATAAATAGCCCAAGCATTACTCTCATATTACCATACACTACTGCTACTATAGGGATATCAGTTCAAACAGTTATCTTTGACTCCAGAATTAGTTGTCTACCAATGTGCATGTTAAGGACTTCCAATATATAAACAATATGTTTGATGGAAAAGTGTATATCAGCTGGTTTCCTTCTTCATGGGGCTCAAAAATTCAGTTGCATGGTAACATCTCAATCATTAAGAAAGTTTGTGCCACTTAGTATTATATCTTTCATAAGTAGATTATTTTAAACACGCTAAATTGTCCGATCTTTCTGGTTTACCATCTCCAAACATATTTGAACATAGAAGCTATTCGTCGATAACCTCAATTTTCTCTGCATGTGTGTATACGTTCGTGTGTACTGATGAATGATTTTCTTCATCTTGTTTTTCTGTCTGTGTAAAAATATCAGGTTGCACTTTGCCAAACTGTGTTAATACGTTTGTCTTCTATGATCAGCTTCTTTTCCTTTACTGTCTGTTTAAGTTAACGAATGTGTGGGACACTTTTTTCGCAATTCTTTTCTCTTTTTCGACTCATATTATTTTGTTATTTTCTAATGCGAACTAAGCTAATAAATGTAAACAACAGCAGGTGGATTATATATTTTGTTAACGTCATCATTCTACCATAATGGGGTCAGGCTTTGGGTGTAGTAGTAGTTTATTTCTCTTACAGATATGTTTCGTTTCATTTTATGGCAAATTAAGTGATGAGGCCAGAACCATGGTTTGTGAGCTCTAATAAAAGTCTTCATTCAATAAAGACCTCCTAATTCACTATAATGGACGCTTTATATGTTGTCTCAATGTGGATGCTTTTCCATAGTCAGTTTCTCGTTAGAGAGATATTAGTTGAAACGACACCTTGAAAGGAAATCGTCACATCGATCGCATACATCGCTTATTCTCCCCGAACCACTAGAATTTACTTTAGCCAAAAGTTGCTTCAGAATGTCTAATTGTTGGAAAACTCAGTAGTCTTATGTCATCTTCAAACCTATCTAATATATGATCATGCTATTTTTATGCTAATATTTTGGAGTGCCGTATGTTCTTTTGGTAAGTTTGTCGGGTACCCACTCATACCACATTGTGAAGTATAAGGCCATTGATTCAGTTAACGTTTTGAATAATACTTTAGATATTGTTTCAGAGTCATGATAACACGCTACATACATATGTATATATGCACCAATTTTTCACTTTGTAGTAAACGATAATTTGTTAACTGTAGTTACCTGAATAGACTATTTACGATTGCAAAGTGAATCTATTTTGTACACTCATATTGGTATTTGTTAAGTGATTACACCAGAACATTGAACATTTCCTTATTTATGCATGTGTATGAATATATCTTTATCTATAATCTAAGTGGTTGTCTATCTACTTGTCAATATTTTATACACGATATACAATTATGTGCAAAATGAATTAATCATAACTAGAATGAGTTGGCTATGTGCCGACATCATGTTGCATCTATATATCTTCACTGAGATGACTGTATGCTCATAAGCGAATCCCAGAAGTAAACATATCTACACTAAATTTCATATTTTGGATTTTTGATTATTTCATATAACGTGATTAGAGGATCCACGACATTAAGTTAGTCCTACAATGTATTAATATTAGTACCATTCGATCATAATGAAGTCAACAATAGATACTACAATTCAGTCCTTAGTAGAAATATATATCTCGAAAAAGTCTCAATAAGACCACTACATGAAAATTGTTTGACATTATGGCATACATAGTTTGATGTTAGTTAATTGATCTAAATCAACAGAAAGCCTTGTCTCATCTTGGTTCCCTTCTTGTTCATTGTCATCATCAAACTGAATATGAAAACTCAATGAATCTAATATTTCTTATTGAGTTTGAATTTGTTTAATTCATTGATATAATTTAAGGCATTATCACATTATAGCCATTAGTACATTTATCTCATTCTTCAAGAGTAGTCTTCATAAACCTTCATGAAATACGTAAACATGTTCTTTGAATTAGTTTAAAAAGAAATAAGAGTAATTTAAAGCATTTATACACAAGTATGATATAGGTAAATACATATTTATAGATATATATATATATATATACATTTTTGTCATATTCATCCATATATATATTTATAGGTATGTTAGTTTGTCAATTAATGAATAAATAAGTAGAATTATATATAAGTAAATGGAAAGAAATGTACAAATCACAAAGCTTGATGAATAGGTTCTCCTTTTTTTCTTCTTGATAAAGAATTTTTGAATCTTTTCATGTAGAAATTCTCTTTTCCAAAGTAAATCAAAATGAGAAAGAAACAAACAAAAAATTGTTAAACATTTAAAATAAATTAGGAGAAAAGGGTACTACTACTAACAATCATAATAAGTATTAGTATTCATCTTTTTCTTTATTATAATAGAATAGAAAATAAATCTATTATTCATCTGAGATAAATGTTGTTGTTGTTGTTGTTGTTGTTGCTGTTGTTGTTTTTTAAAAATAAATAAAGAGGGAAATGAAATCTTTTCATTGCCATGAAGATAATTGAATAAGTTCAATTCAAGTAGGATAAAATAGAAAAAAAAATACGTCAGGGATAAAATAAACAAACAAACAAATCAAGTTTACTATAATACATAATATTACAATGGTTTAATAAACCCAATTCAGAAATATACATTCATTATGCCAATAATAATAATAAGAAGAATAGTGATAATCATGATCATTGTACTCTATAATAAACAATTAATTTTATTAATATGAAATTTCTTTTTTTTGATAATTATAATCTTGTATAAGAAGTTGAATCAGGTCTAGAATAAAATATGTCTAAATAATCAGGTAGAGTTGGATTCTCTTGTCCAACAGGATAAAGTAATAATTGTTGATTATTATTTCGTCCTAAACTATGCACCTAAAATTAGTTAAAAATAAACAAAAAAACAAAAACAAAGATGAAATCAATACAAATGAGTGTTTATTATATTGTTCAGCACGAGATGGTATAAATTATTAAACCATTTTAATCTAAGAAGTATTGTCCCTAATATGGGACACGTCAAGAGTATTCATCAATTATCCTCGGTCAGTCAGTCAGTCAGCTACAATGTAGGACCAAGCACATATGTGCATCGGTCCAAGTTGCCACACATCATCAGTACAACGAGATGAACACCGCATTCATAAATGTAGCTAATTCAATGGTAGTAATATAAAAAAGAAAGATTGCATATAAGGATATAGTAAAGGAAGAACGAATTAGTTGGTAGAAAGAAAGACATAAAGCAATTATAATCTCGTAGTTTAAAGCAAGACAGGGTATATACACCTACTACACTGTGATCGATTCTGAGCCAAGTCCACCACACTCCCCAACCATTGGTAACGATAGTCACACGGACCACAATCAAGTAGTCTGCATCTGTCAACATGGCTAAGACTAAAAATTAGTGACTTCGAGGACCGATGACATGTTTCGCTTTGCCCAACCCTAACTTTCTTCGAACCACCACGAACACTAGTCAGAATTGTGCGTCGTGGTAATCGGTGTTTAGGTATACGCAACACGTGACCCAACCATCTCAGTAGATCAAGATTCACAACCTCATCAACTGACTTACCATCATTCCCTAATATCATGTGTCTGTCTAACCTCACTATTACTTACACGGTGATCCCAACGGAGCCGAACAATATCTCTACGATATCTGTGGTTAAATACTAGTAGCTTACGAGTGTCTTGTACTCTCAATGACCACATTTCGCAGCCATAAAATAGAACAGGAAGAACTGCTGGGCGATATTCTCGTCCTTTAATTCATATATGGATATCTCACCTTCGCCATAAGTGGGCCTCCTGGTGTGAGATCAAGGCCCCAAAATTCAGTGGACGAGAGCATTGTTTCCATCAGTAGGTCTATGATGAATTTTAAAAAAATGGAGAAAGTGGGCATCATTGACGGACAGCAATTGGGGTTGCAAATCAGATGACAGTTCACCATAAGCTCTGACTCGACTAGTATCGTTCGAGTGAAGAGCCTTCACAAGGTTTATGTACTTCTGAGGTACGCGTTTCAATGACAGACACTACCACAGAACCTCTCCGTCTATAGTGTCAAATGCTGTTTTTAATTCAAGAAAGACCACCATTGTCATACGCCGATAAGTATGCATGTGTTCTAGAACTTGATGAATGGTGAATATGTGGTCGATGCTGCCACATCCAGGTCTGAAGCCAGCCTGATTTCTTTGTGTTTGCAGTCGACGAGTCTTAGTTAGGCGTCCGATAATTATTGAGGCTAGTATTTTAGATGCTATGTTGGTCAAACTAATCCCTTTATGGTTGTCAAAGGATGATTTTGACTCTTCTTATATATTGGGACAACCAGTGATTGTGACCAGTCATATGGGATTACGTGAGCATAAATCCAGGACGTTCAAATCTCAGGAAGTCACTTGATGTGCCTTCTAATTTTGATTGGTTGTCCAATTAAGATCAGTCTCTGGAGTAAATAGATGAATCTATTTAACTTCACAAACCCACTTTACTAATAAATTGATTCATTTTTTAAGCCAAAACAAAAAAATTGATACGGAAATTAATCAAAAATAAGAGAGCGTTAAGGACTGGATTTTGATTTAGTGAGGGGTTCACTGTCAAATGTTTATTAAGGGATCTAAAAAAATGATTTAAAAATCTCGCCTGTTCTCATATTAATGAATAAACTATATTTAATTAGCTTGAAAAAGATTATTATATGGTGTATCCTACTTATGTTGACAGATATCAATAGTGTGTAACACCAATCAGAAATGGATTGCCAGTCAAATAAGGATTGAGAAGACTGAACTGAAAGAAACGAAAAGGAAAATAGAAAGAAACTGGGATAAAAACAAAACTGGAAGGATCATGAAGGATGTAAAAGACAACTGATGGAAGATGTGCAAATAAAATATTTAATATATGTTTCGAATAAATTGAGTACCGAGGGTAGATTGGTATAAATAAATAAATAAACGATATGCTTGTATTATCCAAATGAGTAGAAAAATAGATTTTCTGACGTTTCGTGACTTAGTGTAGGCCACTTCTTTAGAGAATTATATATATATATATATATATATATATATATATATATATATATATATATATAATATAGTTTCCATAATTTACAAAGACGCTCTGTAATTCTGAACAGAATAATAAATTGGTTTCCCCGCCAATTCCTCGGTCACTTCAACTAAACTGTTGATTGAAAATGATGTTATTACAATGTGATCTTTAATTCTCTTGATATGCAAACATTATAACTGGTATTCAGTTAATTGCAACAATTCTCTTTCTCTTGTTTACTCTTGTATCTGTTCCAATTTTTCAAATGAATGTCTTGAGACCACACAAATTAAAACAAAAACTCTTTTACCATATTTGAGCATTTCAAATGATAATTGATTTTATATACGACTAGATAGATAGTCAACATTTTAAAGAAGCAAATAATACATTTCAAATTCAACATATTCGTATTACTCAAGATAAAAGTTGTAATTTCACTTAAAAACAATGAAAATCAACTTACAGAATAAAATTTCACAAGATCTCTTAAATCGGTGAATTGTTCAGGATTTGCAACACCATACAATTGATAAGTACTCTTAGTTGTATTACGTGAACCAGAATTGGTTTGTTTCACTGCAATTACCGATACAAGGAAATGATTGCAATAGGATGATGTAAACAAACTGATAACATAACCTAAAAATGATTCATTTAAATGTAGAAGGAAACTGCCATTTTTATCAGTTTTAGTGAGCAAACGTTCAGCTTGTTCACGAGAGAGAAATCCTAATAAAGAGAATTGAAGATAAGTAATCTGTTTTATCAGGTAAAATAATCATTAGAAATAATAAATTAACTTTCAACAGTATACCAATCAAACTGTTAATAAGTTGCTTTTAATTTTCTCAATAAATGTTCAATATTTTACAATTTTTGTCATTTCTATGTAAAATATAATCGACGAATTATTTTACATTAAACATACTTGGACAAAATATCAAGTGATCATGATTGAGTTTATATTCAACGTTTCAATATTCACTGAGTATATCTTACAAGAGATTATGGTCATTTCCCGATTCATTTAGTGGATGAGCGACTTATTTCAGTGTAGTTTTCGTAACAAATTTTATTCTAACCTGTAAATTTTCTCATATTTTTTGTTTCGTCATCCGGGATTTCGGGATCTAAACAGTTGTAAATAACTTTGGCTGTTTAAACTAAAACGTCTAATTAAAACTACAATTCAATGGGAAATTATACACGATTCACTTAAATCCACTAGATCGAACACACCACGACTCTATGGTTTAACTGAAGTTCACAAAGCAAACCCCCTCTACGTCCGGTTTTAGATATGTATAATTCACCTTATCCTAGATCCCGAACTCAAACTAGTCGTCAACAGAAGCGTTGCATTTCCAAGATTGAACATATGAACTTAAACGGGAAACGAATGATGTTTCCAGATGTTGCTTCCTTGTTCACCAATGTGCCTTTAACTGAGACTATTGACTTTTTGTGCCAACAACTACTTGGTATTCCTGAGGTAATTCTCAAGAAATTACTTCTGGAATGTACAATCAATGTCCGTTTTGTCTTTAATAACACAAAATATAGACAAATTGATGGTATAGCTATGGGTTCACCTCTAGATCCTGTCCTTGCTGATTTTTTTCTAGCGAAACTAGAAAACGGAACTCTCAAAGAGGTTATTAATAAGCTTGACTTCTATTATCGTTACGTTGATGATACTTTCATTATTGTCGGTCAGAACATCAGAAAAGAAGAACTTTTAGAACTATTTAACAACAAACATCCGGCAATTAAATTTACGTTTGAAGAAGAACTAGATAATAAACTACATTTCCCCGACGTTCTGTTAAACGGAAAGGAAAACAGTTCTATCAGTAGAAGCGTGTATAGAAAAATTTCTTCATCAAGCCAGTACACATATTTCTTGAGCTTTGTACCCCTTCATTATAAGAGAAACCTAGTCTAATGTCCTACAAATTGAGCTAGGAAGATATGCTCAGTCGATACGATAAACAAGGAATTATATCTAATACATAATATGTTGATTGGAATGGATTATCCACAAAGTTTCCTGAATAAACAGTTGCATGTAACAAACAAGAAAATAACGACATCAACGGCTAGTGAGGAAACTTTCTTCCTAAAGCTGTAATTCAATCGAGATGTAGCTGGTGGTGCTACGTAATAGGCTGACTAGAGCAGTTAAGAGAACGTTTAATGCAGCCAACCTCTGTCTATCGTACTCCACCCGATCTATGGTGATTCCTCAACTGAAGGATGAGCTACCTGATCATGCCACTTCTATATGCATCTACGACTTCAGCTGCTCCTGTGTAGAAAGCTGTATTGGGCGCACTACCAGACAAATGTGCCAAAGAGTTAGTAAACACCCCCCTTCTTGGTTAGATAAAGGTGCGTCAAGACAATAGGCAGGTCGGTTCTATCACAATTGATCGAAAGCGGTCATGTAGTAGAGAGAAGTAAGTCATTTAAAGTTATTTATCGTATTCCTACTCGTTTACCTTATGGGGTTCGATCTCGTCTCTTACACACAGCAGAAGCTATAGGAATTCGAAAAAACAACCCAAGTGTTTGTGTTCACAAACTGTTAACACTTTTATCTCTACCTTGGCCCTATTAAATAGTTTTATTTATTATTATTTTCCATACTCGTTATTTTTCTCACCCCCTCCCACCGTTTTCTTTTTTCTCAAATATACGTTTCCTGGTCCAATTATTTGAGCACTTTTTATTACGCAATCTAATAATTCTGATGAATGTTATTTCAGTGTCTATATTTCTGTAATCAATGTCCTATTTCGTATTATGTAACATTGATTCAAGCCTTTATTATCCTTATCACAACTAGTACACCTGTCATCACACTACCAATTTGTACTTTTCACTAATTTGTGTAATCTATTCCACTGTTATCACTGACTTATAAACTGCATTGATTGGTTTAATAGTTTTAAATATTACTGTATATTAGAGTAGAGCCTGATGAGGATCTAATGGAAAACAATATTATTCGCATATATATATATATATATATATATATATATATATATATATATATGTTGTTCTAAATTCAATAAGCACCACTAATCCACTAAACCAATACAAAAATGACTGAATACCCCAAGTACGACACAACTAATGGACAAGGAAAACATTTCGAAAAATCTCAGCATGATACTGTTAGTAAACACCGAAATATTTGGTAAAATTTCATTTTTGTCTTTGTTTTGTAAAAAACAATAAGTGGTTGTGATGATTCTCACAAAGAAAATATTTTAAAATGTCTGAGAATGATGATGAATATCAACTGATTATTTCTGAAATACTTTTCGATACAGATTTTTTTCTACCATTCACATATACGATGGAAAATTGTTGTAATATTGCATAGATGTTGCTACAAATCCCTTACTGTAAACAAGTTACATAATACTGAATAAAAACATCAATATTACTCTTATTACTATTGCTACTTTATTTAATTTCATGACTTTTAATTTGTGGGACAAACAAAAGCGAAGGATCAATGTACATTTAACTTAATTATTACTCACGAAACGAGAATATACCCAGTCTGCTTAAATAAATAAGTTTTAGTGTGTTACTTTATCAACTGTGATATAGCCGCATTACAGAAAACACGGGGCTAAGTATCTCTACTAGCATAAAAAATAATCAGAGCATAAAGTATTGACGGATATTGCTTAGTCCAAATAATATAAATGATAATTAGCCGTAATATTTAGCTTAACTAATAGAGGTTTATTAAAAAAATATATAATCTGTTGATACTAATACATGGCTTACTTAGTAAAGGAATTGAATATCGAATTACAAGAATAAGGAAACAGTTAGATATAGGTATGTATTTCATATGTTTTAGGGCCTAACGAAGCTGTATAGTTGATAGATACGTCTAAGAACACATTCGAAACCCTGTGTGATACTAAACTACAGTTAAGCATAGCATGATAATTAAACATAACCTCTAGGTAATAATATTAGTCAAATTGATTCGTAATTTTTTCTTATTTACGATCAGGTAATTCATTCAAGTTTCAAAGGACGACGTCAGGAAAGTACTTCATTTCAATAAAAATCTCATGTAATTGTAATCAGTAGTTGACATCGCAAAGTATTTAGTAAAATTTTTGCAAGCATTAAATTTATTGACTAACCGTGGAACCATTCAGGTACACGTGAAAATGTCAATGACGATAAATTTGGACTAAAACCAGTAATTGGTAAACCAAAATCCACAAGTAAACGTGCAGCTTCATAGCTTTCAAACCATTTGTAAACTTTAGTTTTAGGATCCTCTTGAATTATATTGTTAACTTTACGTGATAACTTAACATCCGGTGTCCAAAACGCAGGTCGTGGAAATACTGATGGAGGTGAACTAATTCTACTAAATGTTGAATTTGAACTCTCTGTAAAATGAAAATAATTTCGAAGTAAAACAGTAAAAATTTATAACTGTGCAAAGAAAAACTATGGTTTGTGAATTAAAAAATGATTTTTTAAATAGAAGTTAGCTATAAGGTGGATTGATTTTAGATAGGCTATCAAAGAAAACCAGAAAGCATGTAAAATTATTTTATTCTGGTATGTAACTACTTAAAAGTGCGAAACTACTACTTCACAGTCGAATTGACCTTATGTATCTTCTAAATATTTTGGTGCTTTATACATTTACGCAACATCAATAAAAATATTCAACTATACTTTTAACGTGGTGTTTGTGTGTCTGAGTTGTTTTATTCTCAATCACTGGTTGTGACAGTCTATAAGAAAGGACAAAAGTCCTCTTGTGGCAATCACAAAGGAATCAGTCTGACTAATATGGTCTTTAAAATATTAGTTTTGATAACACTTAGACGCGTAACTAGAGCTCGTGCAGAGCAGACTAGAGAAAACCAGGCTGGTTTTCGACCTGGACGTTGCTCCATAGACCAGATATTCACACTACTTCAGATCCTAGAACATATACACATATTCAGACGTCCCACAATAGTAGTATTTCTCTGTCTTAAGGAGGTATTTGACTTTGTCGATCGTGAGGTTCTATGGCAGTGTTTGTCACCGAAAAGAGTATCAAAACTTAAATCAACCTTATAAAGGCTCTCTACTCGAACACAGCTGGCCGAGTGAGAGCTTATGGCCACTTTTATCAGAATTGATTACCTCAAGTGGTGTTCGTTAGGGCTGTCCACTCTCTCCATTCTTGTTAAACTTTGTTGCTGACGTGGTTTTAGAGATAATACTTTCATCATCTAAATTTCCAGTTTAACATTTACTGGGGGCGGCAAGACCAAACACATGGCACAAGTCCATGAAGTCACTGACAAGTAAACTGAGTCATATTGGTAGGTGTAGACTACCTGGTTGGGGACTGCGAGATGATAAAAACCGATGGTTAGAGACCTTGAATGACATGGCTCAAAATTGTTTGCAGTAGCGCAGGTGCATCCACTTTTTGTGTTCTTCCAAATTCTATTCTTCTGAATTCTTCATGTCCCTTTTCTTCACTTTCCAAATTTATTTTACTGGTTTGTACTCCATTAATAACATCTTCAAATCCTAATGTTTCCGATTACTGCTTATAATTTTACTACCTCTACCACTACGGGATTTGAATCGACAATTGTATCTCTGCGGTAATGTGGTATGGCAACGTAAACTGATGTACGTACGTACGGAGTTCTATGTTGTTGCTGACTGACTAGTTTGAATAATCTGTCCATCCGAAAACCATAGTGTACATATTTAACAACTTAATAATATTTTTGAAGAAACAAATAACTTACGAATATTATCAGTATGATTTGAAAGCGATTGTACTGATGATAAATTATCATTATTATAGTTATTATTATTCAGTGTTATTCTTTGTTGTGGTTGTTGATGTTTTATCAATGATGATAGTTGTTTGTTCTCTTGTCTTAATTGTTGTGGTTCAGGTTGTTTTGTAAAACGTGTCATCATTGTATGATTAGATGGATTTGACGAAAATGTAATCGATGAAGATATTTTATCTAATTCCGATGTTGATGATGAAAATGATGGGTCAATCTGATCATAATTTTGATGTGACAAATTATAGGGATTATTTAATAAACTGATTCGATTAAAATGGCTTTTTGTTATGGATAAATTTGTATTCTCTATGGCAGAACTAGGTGGGGTTCTTTCATTTATATGATGATTTTGATAAATTGGTGCTGGTGATATACTGGTTGGTGTTGTTACTGAAGGACTACTTAATGGACTTCTGGTTAATACAAAACGTTTCAATGTTTTGTTTGTGGTTGCTGTTGTTCTTGGTGACAATGGCATTGCATCATCAATGGATACATCACTTCCTTGGTTCGTTGTATTAGAAGGGTCGTTGAGAATAGTAATGGAACTATTAATATTATTATTAGGACGATTATGCATTGTGAAATCAAATGCATTCTTGGTATCATAGGAATTCTTAAGATTCATACTACTGTTATTAATTTGTTTATTATTATTTAACTGTCTATCTAAATCTAAATAATAATTTCGATTATTACTAGTAATACTACTAGTACTACTGTTAATACTACTACTAACATCGATACTGTTATAATCAGGATTAGTTGTTCTCATTATAATATTACTAGTATCGACATAGCTATTATTATTATTGTTGTTATCATTACTATCATAAGGTGTGGTAGTTGTCATAACTACAGAAGTATTATTACGATTATTGTTGGATATACATATAATAAGAGTGTCAGTGTTATCGGATTCTTGATGTTTGTAATTATTTCTATGGTTATTTGTATCAATATTATTATTCTTGAACTCCGTGATTTTCTCTTGACTATTCATTTGTACTCCTTTTCCTCCACCATTTCTTTGTATATCAATTCTGGCATTATCATTATTATTATTATTATTATAAAAATCGTTAGAATGAGAATATAAATTAAGAGTAGTTTCAATTTCTGGTGAATAAAAATGATTTGATTGTGTAGCATTTTTTGTCATGGTTGCAACTGTTTCATTTGTTATTAATGGAGCGTTATTATTATTATTCATTCCTTTAAAAGAATTCTGATTATTTTCATTATCTTGTATAAAAGGTTTGATAATAGAAATATATTGTCCATTTGTTTGACTTGGAATATTCTTATCGTTATGATCATTATTAATTTTATTATTATTATTAGTATTATTATTAATATTATTATTATTATCAATGATATTGTGACAATTTTTACAATGTCCATTCATGGTAGGAACATTACAACTTGCAGTATTATCATTGTAGTTTGTAGTATTAGATAAGGATGGGATAAAATGATTATTCGTCTGTTGATTGAAGTTTAATTTTCGATTGAAAGGTGTTGGAGATAAAATAAAGACATGATCATTATTATTATTATTAATATTATTATTATTATTACTATTATTACTACTGTTTCGACAATTGTTATTTAATGAAGATTTAGAGTTATTATTAGCAACACTTAACACATCTGAAATACTAGAATCAATTGTTTTACTAGTTGTGTTTATAGATGAATTTGTTGGTGCCGTAGTTGAAGAAAAAGAATAAGATGATGAATCATAAGTGTATGATGTAGAATCATGTTCTGAAACGGATGAATCAAATGATCCTTGAATTAAATTTGGTTGAATTAGACGTACACTATTTTCATGACGCTGTTTATAAGAATAAGTAAAACAAGCGTACACGATTAAAATATGACACACTGAATGCTTTTTGCTGCCAATAAAGATAAAAATCTAGTAAGTCAATCCGATTTATACCATTATTACTGAGAACTTGAGCTAGTCTGTGATTAATATTCAGGATTGAAATTCAATAAGTTATTGTTGGTGTGTGAATCCTGTTCTGATTGCCCTGATGTTGTCATTTTGACATAATCTATGTAGAAGACACAGATTATGCATAGCTGTGAAATGAAGGAAGAACGTTTTGTAATGTTTAGAACACATCAGCTAGATTCATCTACTGCATCTGAATGTAACTGTGAACACCAACATCATGGCTCAAGTATATCCAAGTGACAGTTTACAAACTAAATAAGACGTGCGACGTGAATTCCACTGCAAAATACAATCCGTCCGTTTTTAATAAAATCGTTTAGTTTACTGTATTTATTGAAGATAACAAAAACGAGCTTCAGTCACTACATATATATTTGGGTGTTTCTTGTGTCTGTAATTATGAAGCTTGTCGACTACCAGATACTTGAATTCACGTCGCTCAGACATATCTGCGAAATTTATTCAAAATTGGTCCTCAGACAGAATGATATTCTTTACTCCTTAGTATCCAATAATTTAATAATTTAATTTCTGAAGATATATATATATATTTAATAGTTAAGACTAAATATTTAGTCTACAAACTTCAAGAGTTCATTTTTAATGCTTTTTGTACAGGTCTACAAAATCAAGAACTGATTTATCGTATTTTCGGATTTTGCCAGCAGAGAAACTGAGGATGAGTATTTTACCCTATTTAAAACTACACAACCACAGTAGTCTCCAACTAAGACGAGAACACATTCAAAGTGATTTTGAGTACTGATGGCGGTGTGAGTAGTGTTACTGATTTCCGCTTTCCCATATAATGAAATGATAGTTCTTTTTGAGAAACCTGAAAATAGAACAGCGATATTGAAAGATTTGGAGAATTACTAAAGAGCCTAAAAGACAAATACTTGATATCAAAAAGACATGGGCATTTAACTAGTAGTCATAGATGTACTAGCTCCCTACTTTAAAAGCCTTAGCTAAAGATAACAAAATCAGTAGCCTTATCAAAACTACTTTTTGTTAGAAAATAAACATGAACACAATAAAACAGGAGAAATTAAAATCATACTCACAAGGAAAAGTGTAAATATTTGTATTGATATTGAATTTACTTATTTCAACTATATCAGCCATCCGTCCTCAATTATAATTTCGTTATTTATCTTTATGATGAATATTTAATCGCTTAATGATAAGACTATAATTAGTTTCCCTAGTTAAAACACTAATATCTTTGTTTATTCTACCTCACTGTTACCATGTTTAACAGAAGTTTATTATCACTGTTATTGTAATTAACATGATCCTCAAAAATAAGTATATATATTTCCGATGGTACAGCAATGAAAATGAATTCGCCGAAAACGGAACTCTTCTCTGAACTAATCTTTCTTATTCTATATTTCAATAGGTATATTCTGTTTACTTTTATCAGCTGTATCTGAATCAATAACGCTTATATTCAAACAAACGGATAATGGGAAACAAAACAATTGAACAAACAAGTCTAAAATTTTTCATGACTAAACTATTACACTTTTGTACAAAATATTTAGCATAAAGTCTGTTTATAAACAATCAGGTTACAAAGCTACTATAACCATTTATTCTGTAATATTTATTGTAATTCTTATATAACATTTGATAAGTTACTAGTTAGAAGTTATCACGGTCCTGTACTCGTGGACTGATCTTAGTTAGATAGCTATTGAAAAAACAGAAAGCATTAGACAACCGTTTTATCATGGTATGAAACTCTTTAGCAGAGGGTATCCAGTACCCTACAGAGGATTGAACCTGGCATCTTCAAGTACTATAGTGAGCCCATAATCTTTAGACCGCTTAGTCATCACTCAGTGGTTCATAGTGTTAACTCCAATCGTTTTTCAATGTCGTGCAACAATCTTTCTATTCGTCTGATATTTACCTTTCTCAAACTCGATTTTTTCGAACTCCACTAGTCACGTCATCTCACCAGAAATCCAGAAACACTCAATGAAGTAAGCTACTAGTGAGCACAATATCGTGAAATAGTTGACAAGAGGTATGCACTCTGTTAGATGTTGTCTCAGTAATTTAAAGGCCAAGTGCTCACAATGGCACTTGAAGGTCCTGTGTTTTGCACTGATGGAATTGTGAATGCACACTGTCGAGGAATACTTTACTAAGACAAAACAGCTACCCACTCTTCTCTATCTATCAGTGCATGTCTAACTTAGGTTGGTTTGTGATATGAATAACATTTAGTAATCTTCACTATCATGTGTATTGATAAAAATAGTTACGTAAAATAAAATACCATATATTTCTTTGCAACTGGACTTTCTGAAGAGTATCCCAAGTGTAATGAATATAAACTTCATGAACCTATAGTTTATGAAATTGCAAACCAACTGAAAAACTGAACTACAATCTAATTGAGCTCTATTATAATCATGTTTCCAGTGATTAATTAACATCAGTGTAAAATGAAAGAAAACTTCACGTTAAAGTAACGAATTGATGTTTTGAATCATTTGGTAAGAAATGGCACTAAATATTGTTTGCCATCTTGTATAAGAATTGTATTACTTTTTAAACAGACTAAAATATGATTCATATATTTTTACACAGGTTGTTAAAATGAAACAATTTATGTTAGTCCGTCATGAACCGTGTAGAACCCGAAATATATATGCAACCATTAAAATTTCTACACAACACATAAGCATAATGAAATGAAAACACCAAGAAAAATGTTAGAGTAAATAAAGCGCTGATAGTATGAAAGGAAATGAAAAGCATTAGGCATGACTAATATAATCGAAGAGGAAAACATTAATTCAGGGAATACGAAGCATAATTGTGAAAATCAAGATCTCAGAGAATCCCAAAAGTGAATGAATCTGTTCTATTTTGACTGATGATGAATTATGTCATCCAATATCATCAACCATCTGTCATAATGATCAGATTAACACCAATTAAGTATTCAATACTTAATATTCGACTCAGTCCAACGGACTGAGTCATACTGATGCCATGTCCTGGTGTGGATACACCTAGTTTTGCAACGAAACTCAAGACGCTATATCACAATAACTTCAAAGTAAATATTCAGTGTTCCACTATTAGCAACTATGCAAAAATACAGTATAACGATAACATTTAGAAATTAATTTAAACTTATACGAAAAAATTCATCACCTGTTTATCATTTCTATATGCCATACTTGCATTATCTGTTGAATATGATACATTGGTCGCACTATTTGCGACAGAACTACTATTTAAAGTATCAGTCAATGTCGTAGTTGAAAATGTTACATTTGTTGTAAAAATTGACTTGATTGTTGTTGGTGTTGTTATCGCTGTTGATGTTGTCGTTGTTATTGTCGTTCTCGTTGATGTTGTGCTATTGGTGGTCATCGTCGAATCCATATCATTTAGTTCTGAAGAGTTTGATGGTGATTCAAACTCTCTAATAAGAACAATTGATTTAAATGAATCATTTGATGTAGTCCCCGATGAACCGTAGCCATCGGAGCTAAATTTCAATAAAAAAAAATAAAATGATATTAGAGGAGGTAAACAACAACTATTTATTGAATAAGTTCATAATTAATAATTCTTTCTTATGAATTCACTTTCAATACTGAACAATCATATTGATTTAATTATTCTTGAGAACGATAACTGATCATAGCTAATTAGTTAAACGTACACAAATCAGTTCACCTGATCATATGGAACAAGTCATTAGGGTATTTTGCTAAAACCTTTTCTACTCATTGCTTAACTTTCGTAGAACGCCTGGATGGAGGATATTTAGGTTAGGCCTTTGTTATCGGACAAAATAAAAAATTAGTTTTTGAAAATGATTAATTATTTCATTTGTTAACTAGATCTCAAATAATACCCATATGCTTAATGTCAGTAATCTAAAGATTACCACTTATTATATCAATGGATGTTTATAAACATATGAAAGATAAAGTTTTAAAACTTGTAATTTAATATATTTATGAAACAAATTAACATAAATATTAAGAAATAAACATGTTGGAGAAAAAATCCTCTTTTTATCTTTCTTAATCTAAGTATTCTATAACTTTACACAGATCTTGAAACAATATGCTAGTTTGATGTTAATATTATTAAGAGTATTGAATTTGATGTGAAATTCAGTGTTCATAGTAATTGGACAGTAAACATTTGTTCGATTATATTCAGATGTTAATTTTGTTTATAGTATATATGTGATGGGATGCGTTTTTTCCCATCTAAATGTAATTTGTTGCTTCAGGACTAGTCTGCGTCAACACCTAAACTAAGGATAGGGAGTGAAGTAGTCCAAAGCGTTTATAACCTCACTAAACTTGGAAGTATGATTAGCCCTCATGGGTTGATACCTAATGAAATCTCTGCACGGATTCAGGTAGCTCATTTGGCTTTTACCAACGAACGTCACTTATGGCGAAGATGAGATATCCGTCTGCCAATTAAAGGACGAGAATACTGTTCAGCAGTTCTTTCTGTTCTAGTTTATGACTGCGAAACGTGGTTAATAAGAGTAGAAGATACTTGTAAGTTACTAGTATTTGATCACAGATGCCTCAGAAATATTGCGCGCATTTCCTGGCATCACCGTGTAAGTAGTGGTGAGGTTAGACTCAAGCTATTAGGGAATGATGGTAAGTCAGTTGATGAGATTGTGAGTCTTGATCGACTGAGATGGTTGGGTCACGTGTTGCGTATACCTGAACACCGATTACCACGACGCACAATGCTGACTAGTGTTGATGATGGTTGGGAGAAAGTTAGGATTGGTCAAACCGAAACGTGACATCGGTCTTTGAAGTCACTAATTTTTAGTCTTAGCCATGTTGACAGATGTAGACTACTTGATTGTGGTCCGTGTGACTATCGTAACCAATGGTTGGAGATTGTGTCACCGTAGTCTTGACTCAGAATCGATCACAGTGTAGTAGGTGTATATACTGTCTCTCTTCCCTTAAACTAAGAGATTAAAATCACTTCATATTTTTCTTTCTACCAACTAATTCGTTCTTCCTTTACTATATCCTTATATGAAATTTTTCTTTTTTATATTACTACTATTGAATTAACTACATTTATGAATGCGGTGTTCATCTTGTTGTACTGATGATGTGTGGCAACTTGGACCGATGCACATATGTGCTTGGTCCCACGTTGTAGTTGACGGACTGATGCATGTGATTAATTTAGTCTGCAAAAATTATTTACCATGTACAGTAAGACTGAAATCCGAAATTATACCCATCCTCGACAATTCAAATAATATAAATTAATAAGACGACGGAGTGTCATTATACCCCAGAAGTTATTGATTTATATATGAGGAGACACATAGTCTGTAAATGCTATATTCATTTCTACCTAAGCCATTGTATTTACTAACAACGACATACACTTACTTGTCTAGTCATTTCTTATAATTGTATATAGTTTCGACTACTGTTGATTAATTTAGTAGTATATAAACCGATAACTACATATTTTACAGAAATAACCTGTTCTCATAAAATTATTGTATTTAAGTTTACACCTAATATCAAGCATAATATGATCATGAAAAAAGTAAAACTTGAAGCAAACTATCAGATAAAATTTCAAAAGTGTTTTATTTAAGTAGTTAGAATTTCTGCGAACATAGTTTGATCCCAACAAAAAAGAATGTTTACTTAGGTTTAATGTTTGAATTCATCTTTAATTTGACATTACTGTTAACAATGTGATTGATTTGATTTTATACTTACTGCCACAAGATTATTTTATTTATATTTACTACTAGTTTTAAACAATGATCAATTTACACTTAACATTCTCTAACTGTTTTATTATCTCTAAAAGGTACCCACACATTCATGTCATTTTTACATGGTGAGCAACTTTCACAACATATACCTCATAAAATTGTTGTAAAGAAAATGAACACGATTGAACGAATGTATAATATGGTTTTGTTAGTAAAATTTATATATTCTTTGATAATGCTGATTTTGATTATTTCCCTGAAGATGCTCAATATTAGTTTGCTGGGTGAAATTTCGGAAGTATTTAAATTTCAGTCACTGGGATTATTTCATATGTGATCTTTTATATAATAAGTGCAGAATTTCTGTCAAACTATTAGTTTGTATTTCATTGCATTTTTATGTAGATAGTTTGTTTAATATGATGTTTTTAACCGAATTTCAATCTTGATGAAAACGCATACACATTATTTGGAGTTGATTTCGTTATCTCTGTCACTCAGTAAATGAAATTTGTCACAACTGAATATTTGATGTAATTACTGCACTTGCGTTAATAAATAACTACACATTAAGAATGGTTAAAAGAGCACTTGAAGGATAAAAATGCTTAAAAATACATGGATAAATTGAAACTCAGTTATTTGACGGCAACATACCTAAAGGTGCTAGATTTAATTCTCGAGGAGGTCAAGGGTGCACACTGGTGATTAGTTTCATACTAGAATGAAGTAGCTATTCAATCCTCCTTGACCTTTATTCGTTGTATTAGTAAAGTCATAGTTCAGAGTGCAATTTTTACAAAGCTTTTCATCTCAACTTCCATCTCTTATTATATTTGTACTGTTTATAATAAATATCTGGCCGCATCAAACACAACATATTCAAAACCAGTTTTAGTGAACGATTTCACCGGGTTGGAATAAAATTCCTCACGGAAACTACATTCCAATGTTTAACACCGACACATCAAATGAAAAGGAAACCGACCGAAATTGATAGGTAAGACACACTTAGTAAAGACAAAAAATAAGTGTTAACCTTGTCCTATCTATCTGTGTTTTGGGCATTCTTAACTAATTTTTAAAATACCTCATACTATATTAATGTTAATTTATTGATATCACAGTGTGATTGTTCGTCAACCTTAGACGTTTAATGTAGTCACATGTAAATCATGATTTTACAACAGAAAACACTTCCTATCACATTGAATCAATAGTTAATTGCAACGTTTTGCATGTTCTTCAGTGATACTATCAATATAAAAGTAGTTAAAGAAAAGATGCTAAGATCTATAGATACCTATATATTATCATACGATTAATAGTTCAAAAAGTCAACATTCTAAAATAAGTATGAATAATTAGTAACTTTTAAACTTTGAAAGGAGAGTGTTTATTTAGATTAAAAAACTTCGTCAAAAAAAAAACAAAACAAATGACAGACTAAATGGTTTATTTCATGGACTGATATTAAAAAATCATTTAAAATATGAAAGCCCTGTATAGATTTCAGTATGGATCTAAGGCAGTTACTGAACAATGGCATCGGAAGATAAACAAGAAAATTTTTATTATTTTTATCATGTAGTATACTTTCGAGGAATTTCCCACATCTTTATTCCTATTTTATTCAACACAAACTATTATTAGTATCTCGCGCGGTAGTAGCAGTCATTTATGTACTCAACTCAGGGTCTATGTCGTCTTCTGCAGACCAGTATACTATACATATCATACTTACTGTGTAAATTGAGTTAGCTTAATGAGACGATTCAAATTTGTATCTAATGGCTGAAATGTAGACAGTCTAGTCTGTGAGCTAACACGTTATCAAGACTAAATATAACCGACCAAAATACACCTTATTTAGTGTACAATAATGAGACTGGTTAATTAGTCAATCACTTGGCCTTTGTATAGTACGCCGGTACAGAAAAAAAGCATAGAAATGTTAACGGATGTCGAATATTATGAATACATTATTTACCTAAGCTTATAGTATCATTTAATAAAAATCAAATGGAAACCTTTAAAAGCAATAGATTTTTGTAACTTAGATCAGTTCGCATCGGAAGAAGTGACATCATCTGGACAGCTATTTGGAACTTTAAAACAAAGAATAACAACTTCGTCCAACTGAAGAAATCTGTAATTCTTCAAAACCAAAAAGGAACAGAGCAAGACGTCTTCGTGTCTTCAAATCAGCACAACACTTTTAAACCATTGAGTTAGAAATCACTGGCTAATATTTACGACTTCAGTTAATTTTACGTATTTAAGGATACCATTAATCGAATTTATCGCCCATAGCTCGTCATTATAAGCTTAAGAATCTCCCTACAATATATTTGCTGGTGAAAGTGTATATCTTCACTAATTTTCGAAAATAATTTTAACTATATACGAAAATGTATTCGTGAATGTTTGTATCTTCCCGTTGTCGGTGCTAAGGACTAGGCCCAATCTTCTCTGAATGCATATAAACTAATCATAACTGATCTTTCGCAGACCTAAACAACAACAGCGGGAAGATATCAACATGTATAAATACTCGTTGAATAAGTTAAAAACTGAACACTTCATTTCTTTCATGCCTAAATGTGTCTTGTATTTGATACATTCACAGTGATACCTTATTTTTACTAACCTGTATTTTATCTTTACAAATGAATCAATGTTTAACTGTGGCATATACAAATCTCTTCACTATGATTTTAATAGACTTGATTAACTTTTATTTATAA